CATTTCATCTGGTGTTTCTTGGAAATATTTGTATAAAGCTTTTGGTTGGGCAAGGAAATATGGATTAAGGCTTAATTTAGATTTACATGCTGTTCCTGGTTCACAAGTAAGTTTAAGAATTGAACATCACATTTTTTTCTAATGATTTTCATTTTATTAACTTATTCTTTTAAAAAACAGAATGGATGGAATCATTCTGGAAGACAAGGAAAACAAATTAACTTTCTTGCTGGTCCAATGGGAATTGTAAATGCACAAAGAACATTAAATTATATCATGACTTTAACCCAATTCATCAGTCAACCTAAATATAAAAATGTAGTACCTATGTTCTCAGTTTTAAATGAACCTAAGATTGGATCTATTACAAGTGCTGCTTTAAGATCTTGGTGAGCTATTTTTCTCACAAAGAATGAAACATCTTCAAATCTTAATTCCTTTGAAGTTCATATAAATTAATAAAGTAAGGAAATCTGATTTAGGTATTATGAGTCATATAAATTGATTAGAAGCATAGGTGGTCAAGGAGAAGGAAATGGACCGTTCATAGTGTTTCATGATGGATTTCAAGGAGTTTCAGGTATTGGTTCTACATTAAAGAATCCATGGTCAGGGTTTATGAATGGATCAGATCGAGTCGGACTTGATACACATCCATACTTATGTTTTGGTTCACAAAATAATGATAGTCTTGAGACAAATTCATTTAAACCTTGTAAACAATGGTCTGCTCATCAAAACTTTACAATGGATAGTTTTGGTTTAGCTATTGCTGGTGAATGGTCGTGAGTGATGAGATTTTGAAAAACTAGATTTATTTTTTTGGAAAATATGAATGATTTTCTTTGATTTGGTTTTTAGGTTGGCTGTGAACGATTGTGGAATGTGAGTTTCATGGAATATCTCGTTTTGATGTGTTAGAGAAATTGATGATGAAGAATGAATTCTTTGAAAATTAGATTTGTAAACAATGTAGGATCAGGTAGTCGATTTGATGGAACTTATCCAAGCCCATCTTCACCAGATCCTAAAATCCCAAAGATAGGTGATTGTAGGTAAGTACAAAAAAGATGTAAGGAGATATCAAAAACTAACAAAAATAATTACTTTTTAGTTATTGGAATGATCATAGAAAATGGACGAAATCATCAAAAGATTCATTTATTGAATTAGGTAAAACCACTCAAGATTCATTAATCAATTCATTTTTTTGGACTTGGAAAATCTCACATTCAATCTTACAAGACAATCCACCTAATCCAATGTGGAATTATCAACTTGGACTTCAGTCTGGTTACATTAGGTAAACTTAATCACAAATCTCTTTGCAAACCTGTTCCCATCCCAAAGCAAAAAAAAGAAACTCTTCTAATTGATTTTGGTTTGATCATTTTTTGATGGACTTGGATGATGAATGATTTTTGATTTGATTAAGTCCTGATGCTAGAACTAGTCAAGGAAGTTGTAGAAAGAAATCCGAAGAATTATCCATAAACTTACCACAATATATATATGAAGCACCACTTTCAAAATGGAAAACAGGAGGCAAGAGTACAACAACAGGAATGATCAACCAAACTGAACTTGAATTAATTGAGCCATTCCCACCATCTAAGATTAGAGGTAATGGACCAGAAGGACATGAAAGTTATAATACACAAGATTTACCTCAATTATCACCTATTGGTCCTCCTATCGTCTTGAAATCAAATCCATCAACTTCAAACCCATCTATGGTAGATGAGAATCTTGGATTTCAATCTAATGATTCTTTAGGGTTTTATGTACCTATTCATGGTTGTGGTTATCTTGATGCTTGGGTTGGATATGGGGTTCAACTTCCATCTCCTTGTCATCAAAACTCATCATCTTCTACTACTCCTGTAAACTCAACTAGTTTGAAATCTAAATCTAATCCATCCAAGTAGCATTTAAAATCATACTTGATGTTAATGAGAGGAAATCTTTTATGAGCTCATCAATGTTGATGTGTTCAAATGGTTTCTTTTGATGAATTCTTCAAATGGTTTCTTTTTGATTTTGTTTAAATTTCTTTTCTAATTCAGATGATTCTTGTTATAAATTCATCAATTTATGATCTATAATCCAATCATTCTTATTGTAAACTAGACAATTGGCACCCAGCCGCCACACAGGCATGAGTCAAGGCAACACATCCATTGGAACCCTGCTCTAAAAAAACACACAGTTGCTTGTTCAGGCATGATTGTGCAACAAAACAAATGCCAATATGCACAGATGTACCTGGCAGACACCAGCAATTAGTGTGTGGGCACAAAGTATCTACTTGCAACAGAACCAAAGCAAGCATTGTGCTACATCACAACTTGGGAGTCCATGGGCAAAAGAACATTACTCAAAAGACATGTGCCATCAAAGTAGCCGGGTGGTAAATCACTAGTGGTATAGAAGGACCCTTGGCTCAACTCACAGAAGGTTGAATGAAGAGTGATATGTCTTGAGTTTCATCACAGGGTGGGAGGACCCGGAACAGAAAGGTGCTACTCAAAAGAGCAAGAGCCATTGAAGCAGGTGAGTGTTAATCTTTTTTTTTTCTTAAATTACTTTCCTTTATTATATGTAGGTAGATTTGGCACATAGTATATATTTGATTGGTTTGTTTCCAAGATTTTACATGCAGTAAAACACTTTATATAATTTCCCTCATTGAAATATGATTCAGGTCTTTGTATACCAAAAAAGTTGACACATTGATCTGGATTCTGTTAAATGGATCAAATCAAATGTATGATCAATCATTTGAATAAACCTGTTTTAGTGTATCTGTTTTTCCAACCTGAAGGTAAAAGTCATGATCACTTTACTATTTTATATGCATAATTAATTCCTCACAAGAATTTGAAAATGCTTCATGTTTCAATTTAAAAATTAAAGCAACTGTCCAATTCTTTTGATTGAAGGATATTGATTATTAATTTTATTTAGGATATGAGGTTGTATGTAAACATGATTAGATTTTATGATACAAAACTTGGTTAAGATTATATACAATTTAGTTAAAAGTGAATCAAGTGAGTATGTATACATTTTGAAATTAATTATTAGGTTTTTGGTTGATGTCTTTACAAAAAACATTATTATTTGAACTGAAAGAGTTTGGAATCGGATCATACTTAAAATACAATCAAAACAGATTGATGGTTGGTTGCTTGGTTAACAAGATAAAACAATATATGTTGAATGAAGATTAAATGACGAATAGATCAATCATCAAAACTGCTCGTTTCTTGATGGTCTTCATGATGAATATCTAGAACGATGTTTAATCATAAAAGGACTTGATTTATATTTTCTTTTAGGCGGATTCAAAACCCCAGTTAGATGTGGGTAAGGTTTAGAAGGCGTACCACGTAGTTGGATCTATTCCAAATCACAAAGAAAACCAAAACATAGGATCAGTCATCAAGAATCGATTTCTTTGGAATCAGAAAATGATTGATAGGCGAAATGTCAACTTACGAACTCTGAACCAGGTCTGTATGATCCTTTATGTGTTTTGGATGGTTCATAAATACTATGATAAGTATAAGTTGAAGACCGATTGATGATTTTGATTTCTACAAAACAAGTATTACGTTCTTCTTCTTCTTTTTCTTTAAGTTGATCTTCAAAAATCGTAGTAAGCTTAGGTGGTAATGAAACAAATCTTCGACGAAGAATCTTTTTAGATGATGGTTTTGAAATTGGACAGAATGGATTTAAATTTATAGAATCTGTTTTGGGATGGATGTTGATTGGGATTGAAATGTTGATAAGATCGATGACTTCTGGTTTAGCAGTAGGCTTAAGTGTTCGTAAATCTAGATTGATTGGGTTTTTGATTTCGAGTAAGTCTAGAGTTGAAGATGGTTCAGCTTGGATAGGTTGATAGAGTGATTGAGATTTTGAAGAAGAATTGAAAGTGAAAGTTGAATTTAATGAAGTCAATCTACTTGATAAACGTTTGTTAAAAGTGATGATTTTGATTTTGATTTTTAATTTTTTCTTTTCTTTGGGCATTTTTGATGAAGAATTCAAGTTGGATGATGGTAAGGAAATTCAAGATGATGGTAAACTGGTCATCAATCCTCATCCATCAAGACTTGAGTGATAAAGTATTTCATTGGATTGCATTGGATTGATAATTCAAATCATACTGACTTTCTTTCTCTTTGAGTCGAAAAGTTGAATTTGTCATTTCCAATCACAGATAATGCTCATCATCTGCTTACCAATCCGAACGCTTCCGAACGCTTGGGAGTTGGGACTCTGGATTACTTGTTCTTCATGATTTCTCAAAATATGACCCATTGGGCATTCAGTCATACCAGAATGAGTAGTCTCAAAAAGATTTCAATTTATCCTTGGCATCCTATCAATCAATTTAAAAATCACACATGGTCCTCACAGATTGAACGCTTGATTTTAAACAGCATGAATTCAGGCTTGGCCATTTGACTATGTTCAATCTTGGGGTAGATCTGTCTTCGAATCATCCTAATGGTTTCATCTCAACAGATTTGAGTTTATGTAGCAATCGATCAGAATCGATCCAAAAGAATCGCATTAATAATTTGGCAGTGGTGGAATGCCAATGGTAAGTTTGTCTCGGGTCAGAAAAAACTACGGGGCCGTCGCGGCGAACGCGCTCTTGAGGGGCTTTTAGTCAAGCTTACGGGGCCGGGACCCTGACAATCTTGATGCAAATGACTGTGATCTTATCAAGCAAAACAAAGACCGACGAAAGAGAAAGCTTTTCAAAGATCTCACTCGCATTCTAAATAAACCAAATCTGCAAAAAAATGTCTACCCATGACGGACGTAAGTTAGCTTATTGATTTGGTTTTCTTTAATCAATTATCCATTTTTTCCTTAAAGCTGAGTTGGTTTGATTAAGATCTCAGATGTTCGTATAACTTATAACGAAATCCATGTAAGCTGAATTTGATGTTTTTCATGATCAAAGATAAGTTAAGATTAAATAAAAACTCATCAAATGGTTTATCATTCATCATTTATCATCATTAGCGTACGATCAGATCAACTGCTACTAAAATCCGTGATGAATTCGGGTCAGTCAACTTTTCTTGGGTCTTGATATCTCTTTGATCTCAAAGAAAAATTGATTTGTAATCACTTAAATCAATTTTTACATAGTCCCGATATTATGATTGCTATTGGAGGAGGAGGATTTTTTCCAGCCCGAGTTCTTGTACGTTTCCTATACATCCATCTAGTGATTCTTATACTATAGAACACAATTAACTTACAAAATCTTTCATTGATACTTTTTCAGCGTACATTTCTTAAAACTCCATGTCGAAAGAATATTCCAATCCAGGTAAGAAACCAATCCAAAAGTTGTTCAAAATCCTTAATCGGGGGTTTTTTTCGCATCGAACTCATGTCATTTTGGATGACTTGGTTAGGCTATTGGATTATCTTTGTATGAGGAACTTGGTACAGCTCTTACAAATGGTTTACCATCTACTGAGGAAAAGGTTGGAAAAGAAGTGGTAAGGTAAGTTACAAGAACTTAAATCAAACCCATTCCAATATCAAAGTTAACGAAATTTGTTTTTTTCTGGATACATAGAACACAATGGTTAGCTTTGTGTTCAAGTTATAATATCTTATATGAAGATCAATAGACTTATGATGATCAATCTAGGTTAGATTTCTCGACCCTTGGACATACCCCCTTACTCGGTCGACGGATCTTGATAGTTGTAAGTTCACTTCCTCATCCCGTTTCCAAAAACCCCCTTGAAACTAAACTCATCAATTCTGCTTCTTCTGCTTCTCAATGAACTTTTAAACTTAGGATGAAGTTGATGATACCCGAACGACTTTATCATATGCAGTGGCTGAATTAGAGAAAGATGTAAAAGATCAACTTGAGAAATTGAGTGAGGATGAAAGAAAGAAGTTGGATCCAACTGAATTTGCTATCTTTGTTGGTTCGTGAAAAATTGTGATCAATCTGGGTCTTCATTCAATCATCCTTCTGAGCAAGTTACTTACCTGCTTATCGATTTTATCTATTATATACAGTGCATAATAAAGATAAACCCAAGTCTGCTCAGATTCCAGATCATGTCAAGTATTTCGCTGGCAAGACCATTGGCGATCAATGGGTTGATGTGAGTTGAATTCTGATCTTTATCTAGTCTTTAGATTTTTAGAAAAAAGAACAAAAGTTAACTAACAAGAAGTTGGATTAATTATCTAGTATCCATGGGAAGCAACAGATATAGATGAACACGAACGTTTAGCAACCTCATCTTCCGAACAATTAACCGAAGTTTTAGTTTAACCCCGTCCAAAATTTTTTTTTTCTGAAACCTTCTTGTGAGACTCTTTTTTGTTTGGGTTATTTTTGGATCAATTCTTTTGTGATTGAGAATTAGTTGATACCATTTTGTATAGAAGTATGAAAGAATTGATGGGATGGATGTAGATCCTGAAAGATAAGGTGTTGAGTAAGTTCATAGTGACAAGATGCAGCAAGATGTAGACTTGTAAAAACAATAAAGCATGGTATTTGAAAGGCTAGGATGATGATCAGCGGTCAGGGTTCCCTGCTTAAATATCTTTTGATTGTTTTGAAACAAGAAAGAAAAGCTATATGGTTCTTCCAATAAAGAAAAGATGATGTTCTTCACGCCTTAGACCATTTTTAATTGTACCTTTTCACATCACCAGGTTTGCATCTTATCTTACTCTCCCATCCTCTCTCTTCTCCCCCAGATTTGGCAAGATGTCAGCAATATCATCCCGAAATTATCTTTGGGTAATTTCTCAAATCTGGGGGGGGAGGAGAGAGGATGAAATTTCATGGCCTCGACCAATACATGTGTTTGGAAGGGCTGCTTGGTAAAGGCATAACCTCTTTAAAACCATACTATGCTCTTTGAAACCCTATGGCATTGCTCAGCACCACCGCCAAAAAAGAAACAGGACCACCAAGTCGTTCTCTTCGAACAGTCCAGTCCTCATCCTGTATGCTCATCAATTCTTGACTCGACCTTTATCACGGAATGAATGCCTTCAGACCCAATCACTCCACCTTCGTCTATTCCGCTTCTTTCGGTTCAAAAAATCGGACCAAGTACCCGTAGCTATACCCTTCGAGCACCAGACAGACGTTATGGATTGGTCGATGCCTTCATGATTGCTTTGTCTAGCACTATCTTCGCGTTGACGGTATGTGAATGTTCAAGTTGAATTTGATACTCAATTCATATTGACAACCCATACTGATCTTTGTTCAAGAGAAGACTTGGCCATCCATCTTTAGCCTCGTTAATCTCATCATACTAAGTTATTGGACCTACTCAAAGCTCAGTCAAGTTCATTCAGGTATGTCGCTATTTAATTCCAGAAGAAGAATTTGTATGATCTTAATCTGATACCAAACACAAATGATAGAGACAGTACTTGTTCTAGGTACGCTGGGGGTCCAACTCAGTCAAACTACTTTACTTGGCACTCGACACGAGTTTGTACCAGCCTTTCATATACAACAAGTCATCATTCATGAAGCCATAGATTGTTGGAATGTAGAATTTTACCTTGCCATAGTGATTGATCGAGGTAAGACTGGTGATATGGTAGAAATGGAAGTTCGTCGGATCTTTAGGGTCAGTGATATGTGGAGCATACCAGAAAAAAAAGTGATTTGTTGATGTTTCTTACGGATGGTTGATTGGTAGGCTTTGCGACCTCGACTCGAATATATCTTACCTGTTTGGCGTGGGATTAGGGAAGTGATGTTTGATGGGAATGGGATTTGAAAGCGTTTCAAGAGCCAAATGTTTAGATGTATCATCTGATCGTTGATCAAGGCTTCTGCCAAGTCACCTAGAGCTTAGATGTACGACAACTATATAACTAGATTCTCCGTGTTGCAATCATAGATGATTTGGAACATAGGTTCATAGCTTCGCTATAGAGACTATGGAATCTATTCGTGAAAAGTTTCCATTGCAGGGCTTTTTGTTGACAAGAGAAATCGATCAAAAGCACAGATAGCACCTGTCACTATCTTTGAAAGAAGTGTCGTTGCACAACTATGTGGCGCGCAATGTGAGGAGATGTGTATGTACGGCTCAGCAGGTCTACCGTCTGGGCGTTGTCCAAGAAGTTGAAGTGGGAAAGCGTGAGGGATAACCCTAGCCCATGTCCGGGTCTCAATGTCTTGGAATCCATCGCTGCCTGAATCCACCATGAGACCTCCCGCGCATTCTCAACGGCACCCTTCGATTCGACGTGAACTTCGATGTGATTCTTCGACGACTTCGACTTGTTTGGAACAACAGCTTATGACATCAGTACCATGGAGCTAAACTCGATCGAGGCAGCTGATTCAGGGAAATCAGGAAAAGTGAAGACCGAAGAGCGCATTCAATACAATCAAGCTACTCAGAATGATGGTCAAGATCTTCCGAAACGTCGGTACAAAATCGCGTCAGTTTGATTTGAATCCTTTCATGTTTTGTTTGAGTCTCTGATTGAGTATATCAGCCTGACAATCATGTTTTTGACAATCATCTCATCGAAAAAAGTTGTTGACATGATACCCTCTTCCTTTTCGTTTACTTTGGGTGGATGATCGATCGATCGATGACTTAGTATGGCATCCGATTACTTTTTCCCCAACCTCGGTGGTGTCGAATCTCATATCTATATCTTAGCTCAGAAATTGATAAAACGGGGTCACAGAGTGAGTTTTACGTCATCTAGCACTCCTCTCACGTTAAACTTTCATTCACCAAAGGTATAATTTTGTTTTTTTTGCTAATTCATCATCGTCTTCATAGGTCATTATCATCACTCATGATTATGGTAACAGATGCGGAATCAGACACCTCCCAGCTGGCCTCAAAGTTTACCATGTCCCACTCGGCACACTACCATTTTCAAGTTCTGCTGCGACACTTCCTAACCTATTCTGTTGTCTACCTCTGATTCGGACTATCTTGATTCGGGAAAGGATCGAAATATTTCATGCTCATCAAGCCATGAGCTCACTAGGGCTCGAATCAGTGATGCATGCGAAAACCCTACATGTAGGTATTCGGACTGTCTTCACCGATCATTCACTGTTTGGTTTGGGTGGAGGTGGATGGGGAGAAGTCACTGGAAATAAAATCGTCAAGGGTATCCTGAGTGATATAGAAGCAGTCATTTGTGTAAGCCATACTGGGTACGTTCTCTTTGAGCCTGAGCTGACGTCTCATGGAACTGAAAGTTCTTTGATATTGATCTTCATCAACTTGTTTGTCATTTCTCAGAAAAGAAAACTTGGTTTTGAGAGCTCTTTTGAACCCAGATTTGGTTTACGTCATCCCGAATGCAATTGTTGCCGATAGCTTTAAGCCGGACTCAGGAAAACCTTTATACAAAGGAGGTCCATGTGAGTAAGAGTTCGATTTTTAAATTTTGGATGCTTACAAGATCTGATGAATTACTTTTCTTGGATCTCGTAGTGACGATTGTTTGTGTCTCAAGGCTGGCTTATCGAAAGGGTATCGATCTTTTGATAGCAGCCATTCCAAAAGTGTGTGCAGCACATCCTGAGGTTCAATTTTTGATCGGTTGGTGTTTCTTTCAATACTGCGCATCACAACATGAGCATCTACCCACTAATGTTTGCCATTAACTGACTTGAGTGAAATCTACTTTTCTATGATTTCTGATTTCCTAGGAGGAGATGGACCAAAAATGATCGAACTAGAACAAATGAAAGAAAAACATCAATCAGTGATTTCACCTAATCAAGTTGAATTATTAGGACCAATCCGATCAGATCAAGTTAGAGATCTATTAGTAAGAGGTGAAATTTTCTTAAATACCTCTTTGACCGAAGCATTTGGGATGACAATCCTTGAAGCAGCTTGTGCTGGATTGTTTGTGGTTTCTACTAATGTTGGAGGTATTCCTGAGGTTTTACCTGATGGATTGATCGAGTTTGCTCAGCCTGAGGTCGAAGGTAAATGTTTTTTCAACTGAAATTCCGAATGAATGTATGCGTCAAATATGATTACTGATATTTCAAGGAGGACTCCATTCCAGATCTTGTGAGGGCTATTGATCGGGCAATCGATATTATTTGTTCTGGAAAGCATGATCCTATCAAAGTTCATGAGCGCGTCAAGGGTATGTATAGTTGGGCAGATGTGGCGATTCGAACAGAGAAAGTTTATGGAGACGCAATGGAAATTGAACCATGTCCGCTGGTTGAACGATTGAGAAGGTTTATCTATTTTCTTTGTTACTTTTGTCAAAGGTTATATCAGTCAGAATTGAATTAAGAATCCTTTGCAGACATTATGGCTCAGGTGTGGTGTTTGGAAAAGTGATGTGTGTGGTTTTGATGGCACAATATGTGTTAATGGCATGTTTGGATTGGTGGATGCCGAGGGATGAGATTGAAAGAGCACCCGAGTTTGATTATGACGCTTATATAAAAGTGTGTCTCTGTCTCTCTTTATTTATTTCACTGAAAAGGAACTAATTAGGATCTGAATCTTTAGGCATATGGGTCCTCCTGATGGATCATAAGGGACTCCTTGGGTTAAGGAAGACCTCCATACATTGTAATATTATTCAGGTAATTGCTAGGGCATCTCGGGGACTCAGCTACTTATTACATGGTAGTTGCATGAATGTTGTACTAAAGTTTTGAGATGTGAGTGGTTGGAGATATGAAATAATGTGCTTGCTTGCAAAAACATCATATGTGATTTTCTATAGCATTCACACCTCAGAGTTGTCCATCCGAGAGACTTGTATTACTGAGTTATCCATATTGACCCTCTTTGTCTTGCCATATTCAGAGATAAAAAGATCAAGTTTGACGAGAATTTGCAAGTTAGGCCTGTCAGGAAGACCACACCAATGAAATCCAAAGCTCCAATTGATGATACTGAGAAACCTGATATTTGTGGCATACACATCTCTTTTTTCTTTTTCTTCTTTAAATCCCTTTTCTTTCCATTGATTGATCCCTGGCCTTAAATAAGTGCAAGAAAGCTGGGATGGTATTGGGCCTGGGGATTGAAGTTAAGGCAAGGCGGTTGTGATCTGACTGTTTTGCATCTTTTCATTTCATCTCTTTCTTTAGATGCTGTTTTCTTTTCTTTTTCAAATAGAACACAGTTTGACCCATAGCATTATTCATTTGTCAGTTGAGAATGAACAAATGTTGTCTCTATGAATGCAATTGTGTTAAAAGTACATTTTGTTCCCCTTTTTTTCAGCTCTTACAAATCTGTGATAATTTCAGTATCATGATCCTTGGGTATCTATTATAAGATTGTTTTAAAACGGAATGGGAGGTTGTTCAACTACTAACACATATATCTCACACTTAATTAAATTGGGAGTTCTCATTTGGCATTCTCTCTTTTTCAATTGCTTGGGAAGGCTTTGCACTAGATGTCTTTGTGAATGAAGAAATGCAGTGATTGACCAGTCTTCTATTTTACTCAGAATTGATGAGATTTGCCTTATGTGTCAACCTTTGATCTTATAACCAATCCGGAAACATTATTGTTGTTTCAAGCTGTTCCAATTCCACCCTTAGAATCCAAATAATCTAAACATTTTCCAACCCTCCCCAAGGAGAAAAGTTTGATGATGATCATGTCACAATCAAAGGAAAACAACAGCTGCAAGAGAGCATATCTCATCTAAGCTACTTTTGCTAGCCACAAAACAGATAAGAAAAACTTTACAAAAGAAGTGTAGAGAGTTCAACCACAAAGTGAATATCCTGATATTCTTTTGGTTGAGTCATCTTGTAATAGGCTTGTTCTTGTTCCAGAAATGGGGTAAGAAGACACCAAAGGGAAGTTAGGATTTGATTTGAGTATGATACAAATAAACTCAAACTCATTTTCTATTCCTGAATCTGAATATGAACAATAACACATTTTACAAATATCTGATTTGTGAAAGGCAAAAGGATCAAAATACATCTCTTTGAGACCAAGTTTGTACTCAGGTAGCCAGTCTTATAAACTGACAGGATGATCACTACAATGGTCTTCCAACACCTTTGGATTCAAAACTCTTGGCTTTTGTACCAATTCACAATACTTGGTTGGTTCCATGAAATCCCTGGGTCTTGTCAATCTTGGAGTGATTCATAATGAAGCAGATCTTAGGCACTTGAATGGCTTTGGGCATTTGTTTTGATCTGGTGCCTCTTTGAAAGTCTGAGAATAAGCTTGTTTTCAACATAGTTTTACTTCAGCCAAGATTCTTAGCCAAATTATGGTGGCACTAGTATTTTCTTATCATCATTCATAACAATAAACTGATTATGATCACACATTGTCCAAAAAGTCACTAGGTCACCAAATCTATACTACATTGCTTCAAGAATCCTTTGGTTGTTTTTGACACAGGAAAACAAAATAAATGTCCAAAACCCTTGCTAAAACCCTTGCTAAAACCGACTTTGTACTAAAATCTGTCAAAATTGGACTGTCCAAATGAGTTTCTTCTGAGTTTTGTCCAAAACTTGGAAAAAAAGACTGCCAAATAAACCAAAGGATTGTTGAAGCACTGTAATCAGTTGATAGTGAGTTACAAAGCAAGTACGTCAACTTATTCCAATGGCCCATTGAATCTTAAATCCAATTCCTAGAGATAAATAGGGAATCAGGAGTGTGAGCATTTATAGAATGTGCTGTCCTGTACCACAAAGATTGACTGAGCAAGATTTTGTCAGGTTTTACTGCAGGAATGTAACAGCAATGAATTCCATGCACCTTCAAGGCTACAACCAGTGTAAGATACATTTTCTGTTTTTTTCTCTTGTGCGATCTGGTAAACACCAAAACCCAAAGTTTGGGTGGTTTCCAACAAGGGGTCCACCAATTACATGAAGTACATTCTAAAGTCAATCTCCAAAAAAGTACCAAAAGATTGGCCAACACCCCACAGGTTCATCTGGATCATATTGAGAGTGGTTCAAATCCTGTAAAACTCCAAGTTGCAGAGATTCAAGACAAACAATCTCCCATGGCAAGTTATCCATAATTGAGCTATATGACAGAACTTCACTTGTCTTCAGGCTGGATTGGAATATTGTTGCCAATGCCCAAGAATTGTTCATGTGAGCAAAATCAGGGTCCCCAATCCAAAACCCAAAAGACTTCAAATTGTCTGTGGCCAGAGCACATATATTCACAATTGCTTTGAGGTTTTTAGTCCATAAGCAATCAATGAGGGCAAGATGTTTTAGTTTTGAAATGGTTGTGGATTACAACATCAAAATTTTCCAGCTTGCAGTTGTGCAGGATTAAGCATTTGAGGTTGGGAGTAACAGCAAGAAGATCAGACAATGCTTGCGCATCATGGCCACCATGTGTTTGATATTGGCCTCCCCCTTAAATATTCAGTGTTTTAAGACTTTTGATGTTTTACACAACTTTCACAAGTGTTGTGGTAATCAGAATTGAGCTAGTCACTGTCAGATGAAGCTCTGTTGCGTTCTGACAGATTCACTTGATCAGTTCTATCACCCGATCCGTGGTTATCGTGGATTATGGCATCAGCTCTGGAGCTACATGTCTGCGTGTTCGAGAAACGGGCGTCACCCGAGTACATCACGGTAGCGTTGCTTGCGAAGAAATTCTTCGGACTCTGACTTCGACAACCATACGTCTTTGAATGCAAGCCGCTTGAAGAAGTACGAGGCATCCAGCAACGACACTGGGCTTGTTAATGCGCCAATGGAGCCAATGGAGCCAGTGGAGTGATCATATGACCAAACCGTGCGGAAGCAGATGGGAGGGACTGCTAGGGCCCAACTTTTGCAAATCAATCGCAAGCCGAGGAGTTCGCAGGTAGACCGTTGCGAAAGGAAGGGGTTGGTGGCTATGCTTTCAGGCCATGCAGGTTGCCACTCTTGATCGAAAAATAGTCGATTGAAGAAGACTTCCACGATCTGAGACTGGAGTTCGATCGGAAGCCAACCACGTTTGAGTGAGGTCTGTGGCCGATCTGGGCTATTCGGAATGCTGGTGTATGTGATCGTCATGAAGCTGTTTACTTTTGATGTTGGAACAAAAGAACTTCGATGGTGACTTGTTGTAGCGCATAGGCGCACTCCAACACCTCATAAAGGCATGCTGATTCCGCACCCTGATCATGTCAGGATTGGGAGCCATATGTGTGGATTGTGGCTAAACCATTCAACCCTATTCAGCCCTGTTCTTTTTTGAATTGCTATGAAAAACTCCACAAGTTCTTTCAAGCCTGAACAAATCCCAGTATTCCTGTGATGCCTTGTTTTCTTAGGCCGCCTTCACTTCCATGAAATATCTTGCTTTGTCTATGTAGTTTGTCTTGCAGTTGAGAATCAGAAGAGGATGAGTGGTGGAATGTACCCGGTAGTAAGATATGATAGGAGTACAGTATCTTAGTAGTGAGTTATATTACACGTAGCAGTCCTTCGATCACTCTTTCTGATGCCGAAGAGAAAATCAGATTGATCGACACCAGAGTTACCGTCAAGAACACATCCACCTCAAAGACATCATGTTCCCCTTCAGTCTACTTCTCACCGTGCTTCTCGTCCCTTTCCTACCCTCTGCATTCTCAGTTCTCACCCCTGAAAATGTCGAAATCTCAGCTTCATTCCCTTTGGAGAATCAATTTGGAATCGTCTTCAATGGTCAACCTAATAAAATGATGTAAGTTTACTTTATCAAGTTTCATCAGGGTACAAGGTTCATGGTTTTGCTGACTTTTGAAAATGCTCTTCTTGTAATTAGACTTAAATTACAGAATCACGGAAAGGACCCAGTTGCTGACGTCTTGAGGATTCATTCAGTTTGGAATGAGTTTAGAGAATTAGGTGGAAAGGAAAAATTGTTAAGAAAGGTCAGTCTCACATCCAACAGATGCAAATGAAATCAATCCAACCGCAGCATGCGCTTGGTTCGATTTCATTGAATTATCAGGGAAGCTGATCAGTTCTTGTAACTTGCGTTTGATTCATTTCAAACTTTGAATTCAATCATATCGACAGGGAAACCCAACTCCCTCAAAAAGAACTCTCCCACCAAACACTCAAGCTTATAGTATACCTTATCACTTTAGCGCTGAACAAAGAGAAGGAAATTTAAATCTCAAGATTTGGGTTGAATGGTCTGCTGTTAATTCTCGTAAAAAAGAACGTTCATTGGCTTATGATTCTACGGTGACTATCACTGAGCCACCTACTAGATGGTTTGATCCTCAATTGTATGTCATCCACAGATGTTCGAAGATAAGACTGATAAAGAGATGACTAATCTGACTTGGAGTTTATGTTTGGTTTGTGAACACATTTTAGAATCCTTCTTTATGTCATCATCTTATCGACCGTTGGCGGAATAGGCTACATGGTGTTGAATTCATACTCATCTAACGCAGCTGGTCGACGAGGCAAAAGTAATGAAAAAGCTCGAAACCCTGTAGAAGCGATTTCGAATGCTCCTAAGATTTCAACTCCAACTGGTGGTCGATATGAAGCGGATTGGATTCCTCCTACTCATTCACAACGTCCAGGTTCTAAGAAATCAGGATCTTATATCGCAGCTTCATCTGGTGCTGAAAGTGCAGGTGAAGATAATTTAAGTGGAACGGATTCTAAGGCTCGAAGGAGGAAACGCTGAAACCCGGAAATCAAATTATCATTGCAATCAAGAACCTAAAAACAAAATAACAAGACCTATGAATTCTTTACAAACAAAATTATCGTGTGCTTTGTGGTACAGCTTGTGTGTATCCTTTGAGCACATCACAGGCAGAACCAGTCAGCAAGAACTCTATCATTTTTTATCTCCTTCGGTTATCGTATAGATGCTTGTATTTGCACAGACCTTGTACGTCAGATATACAATGTGGATGAATTTTGGGAAAGAAGTGATATGACGGTGGTGTCTCCATGATTGAAAAACATTGCTCTTAATGAGCTTCGCAATGAAGCTTCAAGGGGTGGATATCGTTCAAACCAAGACTGTTAAGCTAAGACTAGTCTTGATCGAGGTAGTTTGAGCTCAAGAGTTACAGCACCCTAACCTTTCTCCAGTTTGCGCACATAAAACGCTTATTCGCACAGCAGCCCCAATTGTTGAGACCTTGGTGACATGCCTCGGTCTGAGGTCTGACGCTTAAGCATGCTATCAAGAAGGCTGGAATGGTAATTTTGTCAAGGTCCAATAATCACAAGACAAGCTAGACTCAACCCAAAAGTCAAAATGTCCATCCATTGGCCAAGTGTTTCCGCCCATCACTGTCAAAAGCGGTCTCATTTGGCAAATTCTTGCGGTCACGCAAGTTTGGTTTGAGAACTATTATAAAAGACGAAGCATTTATGTACTTTGCACGTACAATGCGGATTTGAATCTCATGCTTTCAAGTAGCCTGTTCATCGCTAGTAGTTTCCTTCAACTTTGAAACAGTCATTAATACAACAATATGTACCGTTGGTCTTCTACTCCATCACCCAAATCAACAGAAGCAACATCCAAGTCACCACATGAACCGCTGCCATGTCCCTTCCCACTCGCCTGGCTGAGATTTCCAAGGCCGATAAAGAAACATACCAAGCGTGAAGGCATTTACAATACCATATAAACTTCCTTCGCCAATCAATCGAATGGACCATGTCCTTGACTCCTCAATGACTGGTCGGATATGAAGTCGAAGAAGTATATATGGAATGAGGAAATATCGAGGTTCGATAAGAGGCGAAGGGACGAGAGTGAGGATAAGAGCAAATGCATAGAAGACCATCAGAAGTAAGGTGGTGGTATATGACCGGGCTATAACCAATTTCAAGTTTGAGATCAGATCAAAGCATTCAAAACTTTTCAAATCGAAATGCCAAATGAACTCACCAAGTCGTTCCCAAAGAAGTCTCATACCAAATAGGTAACCCGGTACAAGAGCATACTTGACGATTGAATGGAACTTGAACACTCTTCGCCAGACATAAAACACGTAGTGACGGTTATCGGCCAGAATAAATGGGTGTTCGTAACTGTCACACATCATTTACTCATCTTTTTATTAGGGATGTGCTGATGATACCGAAAGCAAGTTATCAACGCACGTGAACTTATAGACCGTCCAAATCATGACCACACATGATATGATAGACTTGAGCACTGAACTAGAATTTGAACCAAGACAAAACAAGTAAGCAAGGGAAAGGTTCATAATCGTGTAATGAGCTGGAGCATTCTTACCTGTACGATTGACATAACCTTAGCAGAGATCGCTTGAAAAGTAGTCTGTCGAGCACGAGTGGCGCGAAGAAAAGCACGGTGAACCCGACAAAATAATAAACTTGGGGAACATGGGCAATGACTTCATGACTCGATTTGTCTCCTGTAAGTCAAGTCATACATCAAATTGATGGAAATGTCTGCTGTGATCAATACATCTCAATTCAGTAGACATTTCTTACCTAAGACAATACCACCATTCCAAATCAGAAATGCCATGAAGCACCCCATAACGGACAGGTAAGGTAGCATGACCAAGCATACTGCCGGAAAATCCAGTCGAATATTAATCAGCAAGGATTGCAGTGACTTTGGAACATCGACTATTTCAATCCGACCAGTACGAAGTGATCAGCTACGTAACTTGAAAAATTGTACAAGGAAAAAAGGGGAAAGTTATAAGAAACCTTAAGATGCACACGTAAAGAAGAATCCATCAAAGGCGGATTGAAGAGTTTCGGTTGAGGTTGTAGAGTAGGAGATTTGACTGTTTCTCCTGGGGTCGTTGGGATTGGTTTGAATTGAGCCAATAGGGCTGAACCAGCAATGAAGGCAACCCAGATGACATTTGTTTGTCTAAAGGTGCAGCTTAGGAGACCTAGCTGCAAGTGTTCCGTTGTAAATCTCGTTAGAAACCTTTGTATCCGAGGCAATGAAGCTGTAAAATGAGTAAATAACTTACTAAACCTGCCGTGATATGATGGCCGGTTAAGCTCTGGTCGTAACAAGCCAAGACAGATACCAATGAGGCGATATCGGTATAAAATAAAAATCCGGAAAAGTAGGCGATTGGAAAACAGGAGATCACGATGGCTTCCAAAATAATATCATCTTCTGGGATTAAAAATCGGACCCTTGGTTTTACACCTGGATAAGGTGGATAAGGAGTCTTTCGAAAATGAGATAATATCCTACTATTCAGCCATGGTAAAATACATAGTAACACTGCATTCATTGATCGAAGTCCATTTATTGAACATGTAAACCAATAAGGTAAAAGATGATGAAGGATTGCGATCGGAAGATATCTACGAAGACAAAAAAAAGTAAGCAATTGTTAAAAATAGCTTATCAAACTGAAGTCAAGTGAAAAATGACTTACAATCCAGGAGGCGTCGTAATTTTGTCATCCCATTCTAGCCATTGTCCTTGGCAATACGTCCTCGCCTGTTTAACATGGAAGATTTCGTCCTATAATTCCACAGATTCCACACAAATAGGTTGCCCGGGAAAGCATGACGTCACCGGACGTTTTTTTATAAAAAAAGTGTGCTTCAAGGTGGTAGATCCAAAAACACAGACCATATAAGGCTCAGGAACCAGCTCGTTGAATTGACCACTTATGAGTACTATAGCGGCGACGTAAGCGGATATGGCCACAAAAGATGTGAGAGATTGTGTTTGTTTGTAATCCATTTTCTCGCAAAAGATCTGAAGCAAGATCTCCTTCAATCTCTATCGGCAAGCCCCGTAATATTTCAAGAGTAAATAAGCAAGTGGGCACTTTGGCCTTGAATGTATTGAGGTCTTGTGAGTTCCCGTAGGTTTTATGGGGTATTTCTTTTCGTGGCCTTAATGATTTTCGAGATGGTTATGTCGTTATCGATCGATCGAGTGAGTGATGATACAGTGACCAAATTGTGATCGAGAAGTAAAACTTGAACTTCATTTCGGGACTCCGGACTCCGGACTCGGATCAGGCTACGGTCCCGGTAGACGGAACAGGGCTTTAAATCAGCCCGCGGATCAAGAGTCATAACATCAGAACGTACTTCCCCAACCTTGAACCAGAACTTTTGTTGATCAATTTACGTATATTTGGCTCTCAAATGCGGGTCACCATTTGATTTTTTGGCAATTCTGAAGAAGTGATAAGAAACATTGATGCCAACTTGCCTGGGGTCTATCAAAAAGTATTGATACGAAATCAAAATGTTTATTAGTAAGGTCATGATTTGTATGGAGGATGGAATTTAAGAATCATTTTAACTGGATGAGGAGTCAATGATACTCATGCTCAAGTTAGGAAACATACCATTAAGACCCCTTCAATTTATTTCCAGAAAAAATGAATTCACATCTCATCTGGCGCCCAATGTAAGAAAATCCTCTGCTGAAAGTATCTGGGTCAGTGTTTAATGCAGCAGAATAAAAATAGATTGGTGATTCTTTGTAAACAAATTTAAAAGAATATCAGGGCCTTCCCAAGGACAAAAAAGTTATTTCATCCCATCGCTCCTGGACAGACATTCCCAACAATATAAATACAGATAGCATGAGATGACCCCAGAGGTTTAGCAATTGTAGCTCCAAATCAAATATCTTGAGCTGCTGCTGCTACTCTATTCACCACCTGTGGACCTGTCGTTCAGTGCCTGTGATTTCAAATTCTGGTGATGCCAATCTTTTATACATTGCAAGAACCATGATTTCGTATCTTCAATGAATTATTGAGGTATGAAGGATCATGAAAAAGTCTACATCCACAGGCCCAAACCATGATACATATTACAATTATTTGCCATCTGCTATCATTCCTCATTCAGGAGATTGTTGTGGTAAAACAAATTGTGTGGTGGCATGTAAGTTGACGCCAGTATTCCAGTCACTCGCCAGTTTCCATAGTTTTGTCAAGTGTGGCTTTGATGGTTTAGATTTGGTATATATGAGCAGAACACATATGGCAAATGATACTCATACCTCCACAGTTGTAGGTCTTACAATCCCAAAGTCGCCTCTTTTTCAAGAATATTACCTAGTCAAGGAGGTGGATCAGGCAAAGCTTTTATGGGAAGATGGTCATTGCAAAGACAACCACAATGTCTAAGGTCAGGCTTTTTCACCAAATCAGGGCAGTAGAATCAAGCATATAACTTGTGAGTGGGGTATGTATGTGGCTGCCATAGTGATTCACATGCATGTTAGATCCTGCTCTTGCTATTTTATGATCTTCTGTTTGATTTTTTTTCTTCAATCCCAACCTAATGAGTACCAGATGGTTCAGCAACATAGGCTTTTGGGGTTTGCAACACATTGCAAATCTCCGAATGTATTCTGTGAAAGGGACATGGGTGAGTTGGGAAATTGCAGTTGCTCTTCTAGAGGATATGTATAAAGGAAACCTATACCATGTTTATATTCAAATATGTAAACCACCATACGTCGACATATCATTTGGTTCGAGCTGTTTCTTTGATTTTGTTTGTATCCAAAATCAAGACCCTTGGGTTATAGTATAATGGTGGACTTGGCAATGGCATCAGCTCTTGGCAAAGACCTGCGAGCATAGATGAATGTTTGGTTTGGTGATTCTATCACAAAACTTTGATCACCAAAATTTGGTTCTTTGGGGGTATAAAGATGTCACCCAGAACATTTGGGTATATATTCAGTGACGGGTGCTATGGTACGGTTTAGCACCTCCACAAAACAGGGTGCTGGTGTAGGGTGAGCCTGGTTGAGCACATAATGGCCACACCGACTCCCGAGGCCCGACAAGCACACTCAGGGTTCAACTATCTTGGTGGGGCCACTGTGGTACTGCAAAGAATGCAAGGTATGGTCGAGCAGGAAACTGATCTCCCTCGAGTAGAAATAGAGGAGAAAGATCAAGGCTTCCAAGTTGTGTTCCTTTGTTTGCTTGAAGGTCGCTGCAGAAGCATGTGCAGTTCGTGTCAATCATCAGTTTCAGAAGTTTTCATGGCGCGAGGTGTGATGAAGGACTCCTCCCACCGCGAAGAAGAAACCTTGACTATGTATTATCGCAACGTGATTCATAAGGAAACATAGCTTTTAGACCACCCGGTCACTTGGTTTTTTTCCCAATTGTTTGACGTATTCGGCATTGAGGGTGACATGGTGAAACCCAAAGCCACGCAACCATGAAGACCACGATTGGCCGTGATATCATGGAGCGAAGTTGAAGGGTTATCCACATCGTTGTTCGAATGAGGATCGAGTGGCTAGGCCCTGCTATGCCACATGCGATTACCGACTACTATAAGTAGCATGCTCTCGATCCTCTTCGGTCGTCTTGTCTGTAAGTTCCGCACAGCCACTATACTAATCCCAACTACTGCTCGGCCAAAGCGATGACCCCGTCGATTGGCCGACGTCAGCAGCATGATTCTGAAGGGACCAGCTAAATTAGCTGCGGTTGTGTAATGCCGGTTGCGATGCCTTGTTGTGTTGCACGTTTGACCTCGTTTGACTACACAAACCTTTCTAGGATGTGAAGACAACAAGACAAAAAGAGAGCTGAGAATCGAGATGATATCTTATTCCCATCGTTCATCATTCGCCATTCTCTCACGAGGTTTTAACGAACAAGATTTGCACAGCGATTTCAAAGCAGCGTTTAGTAATCGCTGATAAAAGTGAAGCGATCGAAATCAAATGAGATAACTTCCTGATTTGGTCGTGCTGTTTGTATTTCCTGCCTCCACAGTTTCAAAGCCATTCGGTCAAATTTCCAAGTCTGTAGTTATTTCTTGTTCAACTTACAGCAAAATTCACTCTTGAACTTAGTAGACTCCGCATTGAGAAATACGTCGAATTTGGTCAGTGGTCCGAGGATCTTAATCTTTCTCATTCAGCTCTTCAACTTGCTCCCACGGAGCTACAACATCAGCCAATACCTCGCTCCCTTTCGTCCGTCTACTCTGAGATTCTGCTATTTCTGAGGGTTTGAAATCCATAACTTGTCACGATCTGACAAGATCCTGTTCCATACAGATCACATACATTGTCTGTGGAACATCGATCAGGCCTGGCGTCAAGCATCGGACATCAATTTCTCATTTGTGTACTCTGGCCAGCTCTTGAAAGCTATCAACTGCACTTCGCTTCATCCAAAACGCAACTACTGAACCAATATCATCGTCCAATTATTTCGGCCTTGGACCGTATCTCAAACCTCAAAGTCTCGGTTTATAGGCTGGTTTATATCGTAGATTCGGCTTATCAGTTGCTATCCATTCGAATCTCGCAAGGAAACTCCAGGCATCCCTTCGCATAAATCCAATATGCTTGAAGGATTACAGGGTCAAGCGCTGATTCTGACAGTTTCGACCTTGACAGCATTGAGTTTCATGCTGATTGGTTATGACAACGGTGTAATCGGTGAGGAGAATCTGAGCTGCACTCGAATTTGAGTTCTTGATCTACCTCACTCAATGCTAATAATTCAACCGGCGTTCTAGGAGGATTAACCGGGTCGCCAGCATGGAACCGTGTATTCGACAGTCCGACAGGCAGTGCTCTGTGAGTAGTGTGGCCCCATCAACCTTGCACGTCCATCTTGGTGCTTCGGTAAGCATCATCTGTACGTCCTGGAACCTGAAGCCCGAATGACTTGATCAGCTCCACAATCGTGGCAATCTACGAAATTGGATGCTTCGCCGGTGCTCTGTTGACATTCGCCATTGGGGAGCGATTAGGACGACGAAATATGCTGAGGTTGGGCTCTCTATGGATGATTGTAGGAGCTCTTTTGCAGACTTTTGCCTTTGGGCGCCTACAAATGATCATTGGTAGGGTCGTAAGTGGTATCGGCATGGGTGAGATTCCAATGATGAAAAACTATTCGTAACATGTGTCTATGTGAATGTCCCCTCTGCTAACAATTTCACATTTCGACGGGTAAAACAGGTTGCATCAACTCCACTGCCCCAGTCCTACAAGCTGAATTTAGTCCCAAAGCTAGCCGAGGTCGTTGTGAGTATCAATTATCTTGCTCATCACTTAAAAATATATACTGGAAATCTTGGAAATGCGCCTGATAATAGTTCTTGTTGTTCAGACGCATGCGCGCAGCTCTCGACTTTGAATTTCGGTATCTTTCTAAGTTATTGGATTGTAAGTGCAAATAAATCATCTATCTCTACTTTTTATATATATCAAGTCCCTCCCATGATGCGGTTGCACGCGATCTACACCGGCTGTCGTCTCCTTTCGGACTCGCCTTGTATATTGCTCGCTGATCCATATGCATAAAAGACTGATCCACACTTGATCGTTTCCTCTTCCGGCCACGCCTTTTACAATCAAATAGGACTACGGTATGACCAGAGCTTTTGACGGGGAGATCACGTTTAGATTCCCAATCGGATTCCAATTGTTTGTATCTTATCCACTTTATTTCATCCACTTCATTAACCTGCGACTTTCTGATACTCACTTTGATATATGGACTTTAGGATCCTCATTGTTCCAATACTTGTATTGACTTTCATCGTACCCGAATCACCACGTTGGCTATTGTACCATGGTCATTCGTCCGAGGCCATAAAGGTTGTGGCCCGCCTGGAAGCCAGAGCAGCTGACGACGAAATTGTTCAGGCGAAGTACAGAGAGATGGAATCCAATGTTGCATATGAGAAATCTGTACAGGTATCAGGGTACCGTGAGATGTTTAGAAATGATGGACTCTCAACTAGACGGAGACTCGCAATCGCATGTTCAGTCCAATTCTTTCAACAATTGGGCGGAATAAACGGTTAGTTCTACGTTATTCACTTTTTAAACAAATTCCTGACGTGTTTTTGCTATCCGTGAGCTGACCATCTCATGAATGGTATAATCTTTTCGACAATACAGGCATCATCTACTATGCAAACTTTATCTTTGCGAACTCTGTTGGTTTCTCAGCGAACATGGCTAGTCTCATGTCTGGATTCCTCTTTACTTGGTTCTTCGCCGCTTCTTTTATCCCATGGTCAGTTATAATCAAAAACACAACCTTCAGTATATACTTTCATGATCTCATCCGACGCTTACATTCTACTACCCATCCTCATCAGGTTTTTGATTGATACCATAGGCAGACGAAAATTACTTATCAGCTCAACCTTTTTCATGGGATGCGTCTTTGCCGTTCTTTCAGGGGTCATCAAACAAATAGAAGATAAAGTTGCTCATTCGTACGAGTACGGAGTTGCCGCAGCCGTACTTTGTTTTCTATACATGGGTGCTTTCACCACGGGTTTTCAAGCCACTGGTAAGTCAGATTAGTGTTGATATCAAATGCCAATCCCCAAAAACAATCAAGTCCCGCTCCGTAAAAAAAGTCAAACGTTCTCATCAGATTTATCTTTTCCTACCTTTTTCCAATCATGATGAATCACAGTTTGGGTCTACCCACCGGAAGGTATGCATTTTTCTATCCTTCGAACATATCTAAATCGCAACACGATGACTAACTTTGCTTTTGGCAATTTATGACTCATCAGTACTACCGCTCCGTATTCGGGGCAAAGGGACGGCTCTTGCTACGGCTTGCAATTGGATCATCAATGTTCGTAAAGTTCAAGTTGTTCCCATGATACGTCATCTCAAGCTGACATGAATCACAAATGTGGCTGTGTAGTTTGCTGTCGTGGAGGTCTTTCCTCCTGCCATTGACAACATGTAAGTCTTCATCATTATTCCGAGTGCAATTTATAACTGACAGTTTATTCACGTGTTCAGCGGTTGGAAGGTGTATCTGATCTTCATGGTCTTCAACTTCTCCTTCGTACCCATCATGGTAAGCTGTCCCTTCCTCGAGCTCTTCAGTGAGCAGGCAGAATCACTTATTTCTAACCACAACATTTTGCTTTGTGATCCTTCGATCCAAACATAGTTCTTTTTCTATCCAGAGACCAAAGGCAAGTCGTTGGAAGAAATAGATTTACTTTTTGGAGACAGCATCAATTCAGATATTCGCAAAGATATACTAGGAAGATCATTAACTTCCACCAGCGCAGAGTATAGAGATCTACCTAGTCAATCTGGAGGCGATATAGAAAGCCAGAAGTAAAAGTCCAATTGTTGAAGAGACCAACAACAGTGGAGAGTATCAATTTTTCTTTAAAACTTCATTACTGTTTGATTAGCTTTTTCCAAATCCTTTAATAATTTCTTTTCTTTCATCTTTCTTGTATCATCAATGGCGGTCGTTCTAGTCTGTTTAATTTTTCTGTCATCTTGTTTATCATCTTACATTGTTGCTTTTTTCTCTTTTTTTCGCATCAATGTTTTGTATCATTCAAAAGTTATCTAATATGTTTGAAAACGTGCAAGATGCCGAGGCCATTGTGACATGAGAAAACGGTTACGCATTTTAATGAACAACAGATAATCTTCTGTAATTCCGTGAATGATTCGAACTCACCCTCCTTGGAGGGTGATTACTTTTGTACTTCATCTGTAATGAAGAATCGTGAGCCTTTCTGCCTCTATTCGCCAGAAATGCCTTTTCTACTTCATCAACGTCTATCTCTTTCACCCTATCAAATCCCTGACACCGATGCCTGTCCTAGTGTCTTTTCACCTTTGATTCCTATTCGGCTCAATCAGATCACAATGTCTCAAACCTTATGCAAGCTGTCTGTTGATGTTATGAGCCAAGTCTACCTTTTGTCAACAGTGAATGTGGTATTTGAACAGGACAGCCAAACAGATAATTTTCCCCTTGACTTTGGCAACTAAGAATGTCTGTAAGCTTTGCGCTCAAGTTGAAGCTTCCCTATTACGAGCTTCAAGTGAAAAGCAAAGCTGATCAGGAAGGATCATTTTGTGATGCTAAAATTTCATCCTGCGTTTGGGTTGACCCTTATGCAACTGAGTTTATCACTCTTGCGCCCACAATAAAGGTATCATGAAAACTGGGGGAACCTCAGGCTACAGATGTGAAAGTTGAAACGAAAGGAAAACTTGAAGAGCAGCTGAAATGTCAAGTTATGCATAATATCCTTATAGATAGTAATGCTCAGGTATCAGTATGCTTATAGTATGATTTTGATATCTTTGACGCGCGAAGGCAACTTGATTCAAGTCGCGACTGAAAGAGTTTCATGACCATTTTACTCACTTTACCATTCCAAGTTTTATTAACATCCATTGTTCATCTTGGAACAATCCTTTCGATCAAAAGAAACCTCAACCCTCAAATTGCTCACATCGGATTTGGATGGCTGGACCAAGAATAAACATCGATAAACATCTTGCTCGAGTTTCTGACGATCTCTCATCAAGTTCAAGACATTTCAAACCATCACAAAATAACAAATCGACTCTCCCCAACAATATCTCCCGACAGCCTTCCTTTGGCACACAAAAGTCAAAGCCAAGTGGGTTTCAATTCAAGGATGATACCCTCATCTCCAAACCCGTCAATCCTACCACAACAAAACTCCCACTGGCTCAATTGACAGGAAATAAGAACCTTGGAGGCAAACCAAACGGACTTCTCAAGCCTATCAGTACTACACTTGGATCAGAAAATGGACCGAACATCAAGCGCCCAATCCATTTCTCGCCCGCAAGTAGTCCAGGGCTATCAGTCAAGAGACCTCGTGTCATGCCAAACCCACCTGAACAGACAATCATTGAAGACATCCCACTCGACATTTTTGACCCTGATGAAGATGAGGAGCAGTACATGAACGAGCTAGATACTCATTCGTTACCACCCGACCCACCAGCTCCTCGACCATCGGCCCCAGTTCTTCCCTCATGGACACCACAGGTCAATGGACTTCAAAGAACTTCAGCGGGGATATCACGGCCCTCCAATACGCGCGTCGAACTTTCAAGCCACACACATTCTCCATCCTTGCGCACGCCTTCATCTAACGCTCCTCAGGTACCTACTCGAAAAGAATTCATGCCCTCTGTCCCCGCTCGTCCGTTCATTGAACCTACTCTTCAAGAGGTTTGTTGCGCTAACATCATCTCCCGATTTTTGATAAACCAAAGCCTTATTTGTTCAACCTCCTGTTCTTCAACAGATGGACCTTCAGACTCTGTACGTGAAACGACATGCCTGCATGGTCCAGATCAAGACCAAATTGGAAACAATGATCACCTACCTACAAACTGGATCGTGTGAGTCAGGAGAAGATCTTGGGTTACTCCAGCATAGCAGGTCGGTCTTCACCTAACAGTGATTTCAAAAAAGAATAGACGCTAAAATAAGCTCTCTTCTGTCTAGATTATACCTCGAAAACAGGATGAACGAGTTCAATACTGAAATAGAAAATCGTCAAACCAGTGTCGATGGAAACCCAGTGGTAGCGGGTGTCATACCACCAATTCGAACAACAACGCCGCTCGAACCACGGAATTTACCAAACCAAGTCTTCACTTCACCTTCAACAACGTCCCGAGTGTCGAGTGAACCTGTACATCCAGGGCCCCTCACTCCTACGGCTCGCCAGCAAGGTTCAATCTCAAAAACCGTTGCGCAATCTGTTTCTAATTCATATAAACCGATGGCAGTCAGATCAGTGACTCGGGAGGCGCAACCGCTAATTGATCTCCAAGATCACAACTCTGCTCATCAACAGCCAGTTGCTGGCTCATCACATAAATTTACCAACTCGAAGCAGGATTACCAACATCCTCCCTTGCCTCACCCGATTCCAGATGTGCAGCATGATACTGATGCACTGCTGTGCGGTATCTTTTCCGGCGACGAAGGTTATTCAGACGACCAAGGTGCAGCACCAAAGCAATCTGATACCCGTGCCCAACTGCAGATACCTGTCGCCGCGCTTCAGAAAACCGCCGATTCTTGTCATATAAACAAGTCCGCGATCGCAAGTAAGTTGTTGTTTATCGTTTATCCTACAAGGTTGTTAGCTGAGTTTGTACACTCTGTCATACAGGCACAACATCACCCACTGTCGGATACGTTGATGTGAATAAAGAACCATGTGAGGACAGTCGAAGTAAGATGAAGCACCCATGGTCCAAGGATGTTGCCAAAGCCCTCACAAAGATCTTTAAGCTAAAGGCTTGGAGACGAAATCAACTAGATGCTATAAATGCCACGTTATCTGGAGAGCATTGTTTTGTGCTCATGCCGACGGGCGGTGGAAAATGTGAGTCATGTCAGGGATACCAGCTGGCCAAATCTGTACTGATTTACTAACAAACCATCAACGTGATCAATGGGTATCTTTGAAGCCCTTTGTTATCAACTACCAGCCGTAGTTAGATCAGGCAAGACGCATGGGGTGACTATTGTAGTTAGTCCTTTGTTAAGTCTTATCACCGATCAAATTCAAAGCCTATGCGAAAAGGAAATCGGCGCTGCCCCTTGGACGGGGACCATGTCCAAGCAAGAAAAAGCAGCTGTAACGAGTGATCTAAGAAGCAAAGACCCGTCATTGTGTTTACTTTATGTGACGCCTGAATCAGTATGTATCACAATGGCTTTGTATTGTCCGCGTTATGATATCCCGCTGACCTATGAGAGCACTTATTGTCCAGATGATGCAAAGTGGAGAACTCAAAGGCATCCTGAAAGACCTGCAGAAGAGAAGCTTGATTGCACGTTTTGTAATCGACGAAGCTCATTGTCTCAGTCAATGGGGGCACGACTTTCGTGAGTGTTTTTTTGAGTAAAACTATAGTAACTTCAGTCCACGGAGCTGAATCTGCCCTGTCGGATAGGGCCTGATTATATATTACTCGGGAAGCACTTGGCACTTGACTTCTCAGGTATACCTATCCTTGCCTTGACTGCAACAGCCAACGGGGTGGTACAACAAGACATCATCAAGAACTTGCAAATTGGTTCATGCGTAAAGCTCACCCAATCCTTTAACCGGCCAAATCTGAGATATGAAGTGCGGAATAAAACGAAAGAAGCGATGAACGACTTGATCCGGATCATCACCGTAGATCACGCGGGTAAATGTGGGATTGTCTATTGCTTTTCCAAACGGGATTGTGAGCAAGTTGCTTCGGACCTTGTTTCTAGAGGGAACGTCCGCGCACACCATTATCATGCCGTGAGTTCAAATTGATCATGATCATGGATGCTCATGGATCAAATGTTGATGGTTTTTATCTCATCCAATCTACCAGGGAATGAGTACAAACGACCGCCAACGAATTCAACAGGATTGGCAAAGAGGTGTTCTACAGGTGCTTTGCGCAACAATAGCGTAAGTGCCGTTGACTGAAAGACGCCGTTGTATTCATAAATTTATAGCTGACTTGCCTATTACAACCCCACTAGGTTTGGGATGGGCATTGACAAGCCCGATGTCCGCTTTGTCGTCCATTACTCTCTACCTTCTTCTCTTGAAGGATATTACCAAGAGACAGGACGGGCGGGTCGGGATGGTGGACCATCCGAATGCATCCTGTTTTATACTTATAGAGATTTTGTAAGCCTGGGCGGAATCCCTTTATTCGTCCTTCAAAATACTACCGAAAGATTTATGATTGGGAACATACAGCTCGGCATACAACGTATGGTCGAACAGGAACCGAATGTTCAGCAAGTCGAAAGGCGACTGGTCAATGCTCGACGAGTAGTCGCTTTTTGTCTCAATAAACTTGACTGTCGTAGAATGCAAGTCTTGGATTACTTTAGTGAAAAATTTTCACCCGCAGATTGCAGGAAGACCTGTGATAATTGTATGAGAGGGCAAACTGTGGTACAACAAGATGTCACGAACTATGTGGTCTCAGCAATCAAGCTGATTCAGAGACTTACTGAATCTGACTCGATCACGATGGCCCAATGTATTGACGTCTTTAGAGGAAGCAAGAATAAAAAGGTCATCATCTTCACAAACTCTTTTGGTAGCTACCCTCAACACATGCATCTGACTATGCGTGTTTCCTTTCTAGATTGTCGATGCAGGTCATCATTTGCTCGATGAGGCGGGAGTTGGTAGTGCTTTGGATCGCACTGATGTCGAAAGGCTGTTTCAGTTTATGATGACTAGAAACATCTGGGTTGAGCATTTCAAAAGCACCGGGGCGTATACCAATTCATATATGGCGGTATGTTTACCTTGTTTGTATGAGATGAGCACTTCAATCAATCCCACTGACAAGTTCTATCACAGCTAGCACCGGGACACAAAGAATATCTGCTTAAGGGTACAAAGTTTCTTATGCCATTTGCCGATGGTCCGCCTAACAAGCGAATGAAACCTAGCGCTGGAGATCCAGACCTTCCCCAACGGAAAAACACCAAGGTTGTGGCTCCTCGAGCTTCGGTTGAGAACGATATTGACGATTCTGGGATTCATGATGACCCTGATTACGAATTTGAGGACGAAATAACTATAGAGAAGCCGCGTCCATTACCAGTTACAAGAGGCACTGCAAAAAAACCCAAAAACATTTCAGTCGATGTTGATCATTCTTATAAAGCGTTGGTTGCCCTGCGTGACAAAGTTCGTACATTATGTCATATCTGTTCCAGATTCGTATCACAGATTAATTTTGATATATTTTCAATACAGACTATTGCAGATGGAAATGCGGACAATGCTATTCCGACCGAAATCATCGAGATTCTAGCGTGCATAAATCCTACAAGTGAGCCTAGATTATCAACCATATCTTCACTCAGAAAGTCGGGCACTCATGATAAATTTTGTCCCATCATGTCTCGTGTTAATCTACAAAGCTCAAAAAGCCTTGCTCGAAATCGAGGGCATCGATAAGGAGTTAGTACATATCACTGTTGTCGACTACAGCTGTTGTAGGATGCTTACTGACTGACTTCCAATCTAATATAGATTTGTCAAAAACCACGGGGCAGCAATACTGAAAATTTGCCGGCAGTCTGCGAAACACAATCAGGCAGCGGTAATTGAAATCGAAGATACATCTTTGAAAGTACCTCCGGCTAAAACGTAATTCTATAAAATTTTGATTCAATCAATCAGTTAACGGACATACGGAATGAGCACTGACGAGCCCTTATTTCAATCCGTTTGAACAGGCCTGCTCTGAAGTTCAATGACCAAATTCAACGCTTCGCTGCGCCACCATCAATCACACGTTCTAAGACAGTAAAGCGATCAACAGCACCGCCCACGTCCCGTAGTGGAATTCGCGCCATGCCAATGCCCAAATGATACCATTCCTCGTTCTTTTATCGTTCTTTGACTCGTAGCCATCAACCCCAAGGGGTGTCACGGTCCGTATTCTGAATCTGTTTATAGCCACTATCATCACTTTCAAAGTGCTCTCTTCTAACGGATAGCTACACGGAGGGAAGGGGGCTAATACTTTGAGTGTAATTATTTGTATCTTCTATGTACTTTGAGAAGCTCTTGATTATGCGCTTTTGATGATGTAACTCGAAAAGTCAAATCAAAAAAATACTTTTATGTTCTTCAGCATTCAACTCGCTTTTTGTTTGTAAGTTACTTGACCCTGATGGCCTAATACTTCAGCATGGGCTTGTTTGGCAAGTGTAGCATATATCTGTCTTTAGTATCTTTTATTTACAACGTACACTTTGAAAGAGCCAATACGCTGACATCATAAGGCGTCGTGGTAGACTGCAGACCAGTTATGGTCTTCATGCCCACCTGAATTATCTTTGAAATTTGGTCTGACTCTCCTTTATCACAATTTCCATTTCCCCAGTCCTTTCTTCTGATTTAGCCGATGGCCACTTGGATCCAGCTCAATCTTCTCACTCAATCTTCTCAATGTATAGTACTGAACCCTAAATTACGTGTATGCCTCTACAATCAGCACCCTTTGATTATCCTGAAGCTCCCACTCCTGAAGCTCCCTTAATTCATTCGCTATGAATTAATGCCACTAAATGGTGGTGAAGGAAGCTGGACCATTGGTACAAATTGTTTATAAGAGATTCTACAACACTTTCTCTTGAAGCGTTTCAACTGGGGTTTCCCTTCTCGGCCATCATGCAAGTTCAACAGATGAACGGCACTTTGCTCTGGCCTTGCGTAAGTTGCGTTACTTGGATACTCCCATTTTCCTATTCATGCAAAAGAATCACATTTTGTACATACATATTGCTCTGCATACATTCGCGTGGTCAAAACTGATAACAACTATCTTGGAGAGAACAGCTGATATTTAAACCAAGCTGCACGTTTCTTGTAGTGGGTGTCAGACAAGGCTTCACGGAGCATATGAGCAGCTTGTTCCGGTGTTAGGTCACGCTGAGATTCAGCAAACATCTCAAAGCTAAACACATAAGAAAACGTGACGTATGATGTCAATGAATATATTTCCGCTGTTATGAGGTTCAGATAGCGTAAGTTTGACTTACCCGACTTGAAACTTTTTCACACTCGCATTTCGCAATAAGGGTGGGTAGAATGATAAATGAAGTTGAGCAGTGGCTTCAAGCTGAGGAGGAGACTGATTAATACCCATACTGTAAGGAAAACTACACTGGAATAGGTTGTCGTAAAGTCGTGTGACCACCCCGAGAGTATGAGCTAGATCTGTACGTTGATCATTAGACATGTGAAGTAGTGATGGAATGTGATCTTTATGAGGCATAATCATGATTTCGAAAGGCCAAAGAGCCCAAAATGGTACACAGGCCATGAAGTGGGTCGAAAGATATACCACCCGAGGTGAGAGTTTTGGTTTAAGCTCAGCTTGGCTGTAATCCAACAATAAACATGGCCTTCCATCTGTCAGTCTAGGGACCATTGAAGAATTTGATTTGTTGGACTCGGTTGGTTCCTCAGCGTAAGCGCGTTGGGAGTCAAGAATCTTGGATGAAATTGTAGGAATATATGAAAGAGCCCAAGCCTGTAGAAAAAAATACACAATGTGAGTTGAAGTTGAGATCATGAGTATGCGAGTCAAGTGAAATGAATTGACTTGTCCATGCGGATGAGGATTTGAGCAACCCATCACTGCACCCTTGTTTTCAAAACTGACAAATCAATCGATCAACAAATGTCATCAGCGACCGGCGCGTGTATCAGAATCGACTATTGTCTGAAAAATGTTTGTCCTCACATCTGCACATAACGAACAAAAGGATATTCAGTGGAAACTTTGCGATAAAGGTCACACCTATGCAAATCAGAAGAAAGCTTGAATCAGCTTGGTTTGCATTTTAAGCGGGCCAATGTCTCTGATTGACGTGCAGCGTACCAGGCATCGACAATGGGCAAAATCTCCTTTGCCTCAAGTTCCGCAATGGTCAGGTCATGATGTGCATTGAAGCAGATCACAAAGCATTTGCCTCGTGCCGTTTCAGTACGAAAAAGACCTTTTGGGAGCGAGTCATCATGGCCTTGATTGGACAATAGATTGACAAAGGTTCGCAAGCTTCAGGGAAACGGGACGAATCGAAAAAGCCGACAATGATCGAAAGACGTGGAAAATGCTTTACCGGGAACAGTCTCCGTATCCGTGACCGCAGCATAGTCGTTCTGGAACCAAAATTGGAGGAGAGGAATTTGAATCTGCTAGGCGAAAGATGAGTGAATGGGGTACGGACCTCAAAAGTAAACGTACCGGTGTAATGTGGGTTTTGTTGACCTTGAGCTCTGGTGTTGCCAGGACAAAGATAGCACTTTGGATCGTGAGTAGGTATATCGATAGTCGCAGCTGGCTCTGTTTGACCTTGCCAAGGACGCTTTGCACGATGAGCTGATGATATAGCGGCATGTAATCGATTAGCTTTTTGATAGAAGCAGACTAGCAAGCTGATGATAGAATGGAATGTACTGACGAGAGCAGAGTACCCATTCTCGAATGAGTGGATTATAACGTCGATGAGGATGTTCTGATGGATTGAATTCTTCCATTGCTGAGTTCAAGTATCTATCAGAAGCAGGAATGCAGAAGTGAGTATGCGGTTTCATGAACTTCAAAAGTTCAATTTCAAGCTGGAAACTGTATTTCTATCTCATTCTCCTTACTACATATCACTCAACTTCTCCATCTCAACATCATCATCACCACATCCATCGACGCAAAAAGAGCTGAAGGCTATGAGTACAGAGATCTCAGCTACTGGTCTCGTTTCAATCGAACTTCGTCAAAGTGTTCTTGATCGACTCGCTACTCACAGTCACTCGGTATGCCATTTCTTGGCTAGGGAAGTCATCTTCGATCGAGGTTAGCATAACATGCCCATTACCTCAAAGAAATCGATCGCTAGTCATCATCTCGACTTCTAAATCTCATTCTCTTCGGATCATAGGGCCATTGGACGAATTCCCAGCTGATACTCAAATGTTACGATTGAGGCATACATTACAAACACCAGATTTTAGTCAACCAAAAGAAACTGGTACAGGATGGTCCGTTAAAATTTAATCCATCCAACTCAGACTACTCATTGATGATCATCATAGGACTTTGATCTCACTCGGTCGACCTGAACCCGAAAGACTCTCACCTGAGTTCTTGATTCGACCCATATACACAGGTCCAGTTCTTGAAGGCGAACCATTCGAGTTCGTTAGTGCACTTGGTTACAGGCACGTCTACTCAATAATCTCAAAGATGAATGAACTTTGCTCTAATGGGGAATACTCTCTTTGACAAAAAGATAGACGCAAATTTGAATACTATCGACGAGGATTAGTCTTTACTCGAGGTCCTGTGTTAACGGAAATCTATCAAGTTCACTCGGTGAGTCATCTTTTCAAATGCAGAACTTGTCTAAGATTGATAAGCTTACGCGTCTTTTTTTCCGATTTTGTTTGAAAAACTTACTTCATCGACGATAAAAAAGACACCAACAGATCCACCTATTGAATGGCGAGATACATATCTCATCTCAGTTACGGTCATCATCCCACCGGCAAACACCACTGGTCGATCTATACAAGAATTGAGAGAAGAAGCGTCTGAACGTATTCGTGGGATTCAAGGTTATTTGAAAGGCTTAGTCGACCTGGGGAGAGTGGAGCCTTTCTGAGTGGAAAACTGGCAAACAAAAAATTTCAATTAAGCTTCTACATTTCTTCAGCTTTTTGTGATACCATTGTATTTCTTCCGCGCTATCATCACTAAGCGTTTTATAGAGGTTTACTCATTTTGGTCACTGTTCTATATCGCCACATGGGTGTGTAGAATTGTATTACTGACAGGCATTTGTATTGAAATTTACCAAATAACAATCAGATCACACTCAGACTGATGATCAAGTGAAGGTATTCCTTCATTCCTCGAGGATTTATCTTTATAATATCAAAACATCAAAGTCTCATAGGTATTCAACAATTTGTCAAAGGATTAAATGGAAATTTCTCTGAGCTATTCTCAAGTACAACACCCCATCCTGATAGAGAGTTCTCAGCAAAGACTACAAATCAGAAATCAAAATTCTCAGTAAGCCTCATTCATGTTGGAGTGTTTAAACACTCATCAAGCCATCAGACAATGTGACTCAACTGTGAGCGAACCATCCAACGCCCTGTTCTTTAAAGTACTCACAATGATCACTAAGCAAATCAAAGTAATTCTTCTCTTGTCTTATATCCGTTGTTGCTTTGCTATTCCCCGCTTGATCTTTATTACTAGGCCAACCAGTTTGTGTGATCACCACTGGTTTTCCTTTCCCATGAAGCTTTCCGTAGTTGATACAAAATTCAACAGAATTCCATGCTAGATTTGAAGTAGTAGCATGACTATCAAATACTGGTAAGACATTCAAACTGACTAGATCCATTGCTTCAAATATACTGGGTGCATTATCATTTATTTGAAACCCGTAAGTCATCTTAAGTAATGTTGAATTGGTCATATCAGTGATTATACTTTGTGGCTTGTCATATAAAGAATACGGAATTGGTTCCTTACCTCTGAAATTGTGACTGGAATCCAATAAGGTTCCAATTCGCTCGCGAGTTTTTTAAGTTCGTCTGATAATTCTTTGACATCTAGAACCCCATCATATAATGGCTCTGATCCTAAAGTAACCGCTCTAATGGTATACGGAGCCTACAATCAATTGAACTGCACATTCAAAATCTTTCTCTTTCATCATTTCTCAAAGTATCAAGTAAAGAGAGAAAGTTATTCACCAGTATATTTTCTCTAATGGCCTTCAGTAGGTTCTCTTTCCTAGTCCTCCAAACAGAATCGCCTAAACAGAGTTCAAAATCAAGAATGATTAGATAAGTTTTTTGATTTTCTAATGATATTTTAAATGATCAAAGAAAATAAAAAGTTTCTGTTTTTATTTTGGTCACACCTTGAAATCCAAACCAAATCAAAGCATAAACACCAATTTGAGCAGTTGCAGCAGCATTAATAAGATGTTTATTAAATGAATCTTGATCACAATTACTATAAATCCTAACATATCTTGCATTTTTCTTTCTTTTCATCCAATTAAAAGTCAAACTCATTTCCATTTCAGATGGACAATGTCCCACCTTTTTGATAAAAGAAACGCAATGATCTCAATAATTATCAGTATTCAAAAACAGGAGGTTATTAAACTCTTAATACTGATTGAATGAAAAAGAACTAACATCATAACTAAAACCAAGCCAACCATATTCATCTCTTGCTTGGCACCACCATCCTGGTCTTTCACTTCCGGTTATTGTTGTATTAGGAAACTCGATATCAGAAACAAGTGATGGATAACAACTAGAAGTTATCGCAGGAGGAGTTGCTTTGCAGGTGCTTTGAGCAGGTATAGAAACTTTATCATCACATAATGCAATCTTTGAAGCGAAAAGAAAAATACCTATGAGCAAAGCGAAACAGCTCGTAAGGGGCATGGCTATTCTTTCAAATCTACGTCAAAAGACGATGTTAAAGGAAAGCCAGATTCTACTATTTTATCTCTGATATATACATTGGGACATTTATAAACAATGGGGCAGAAGCCAAGCCTCTCAAAGCCTCCTCTCAAGCTGCAGTGTGAATGGTTTATCCTGCTGTTTCCTTCCCCTGGAGCTACAAGTACCCACAACGAACCGCTATCCTCAGCTTGCACCCTTAAACATACCTTTTGATTTCGAAAATCAATCGCTGGTACTCCTCCTGGTCCATCTTTATGGCGAGACCTGTCTCATTTGAAATGTGGTAGAGGGGTCCGAATGGTTTAAGTATATGACTCGAAATGTAGGAGTCTATTGTGAAAAAGATCTGATTATTGTTCATGATTTTTTGGTATGGTAGCAAGAGATTTCCCCGATCAAAAATCTCTGATCTGCACCTTGATATCAGATCAGTAAGCAAGAATTCCTCCGCATAGAATTTAACCTCTCCTGACCACGTATATGTATTCGACAAGGCCTTTCGAGCATATTGGACTGGTTTTCCTAAGTCCCAAAACGCTCTTATTCTAGCCAATCCACACTCATAACCTCTCAAAAGCTATCAATACCATCCATACAAAATCCAGAATGTAAGCCGAATGTAAGCCAAAATTGTATAAGAATAGCTTCGAAGTATTCTGGACCCTGAGCATGACAGATGCCAAGGTTTGAAGACACCCTTGATGCTGGGATTCGAGCCACATACGCTTAGAAGTTAGAGTGGAGATTGAGAACCTACAGTAAAAACCTGAGATTAAGAAAACAGCGAGCAAAATCTTATGGTAGGTGACAGGTACATAGTGCATAATTTTGATGGGTCACAAAGGCTAAGGTCAATTTGTGCATTTGATTGATGAGCATGTTCTGGACTAGGAGAATGGATTGTAAGAGCATCTCCAACGGTGCCTTGTAAACGTAACGATACGTAAGCTGTATGTTACGTTTACAGGGTTGGGTCAAAAAACGACCCTCCACCGGTCGGCAGATTTCTCACCTCTGGCCACTCGTGTGAAGTTTGGTTTGAGGGATACTGGGTATCGCATGTCAAGACCTTCATGCATGAAGGGCTTCCGCAAAAGATGCAGGAAGCAGTATTGGCGACGTTTAGGACATAATCATACCACATGCGTCCAAAGATAAATATGATAATCGAAAGAAAGTACATATCAAGTATATAGTCAATGAGATATCAGTCAACTTTTAAAAGGAATATTGTGCGCTTTTGGCGTTTTTGGCAGGAGCACGACCTTGGAAGTCCCTCCATCATGTGCGCGGTGGAGGGAAATCATTTTAAAGAAAAAATACAGCTTACTGTATGTTTTCAGACGAGCCTGTACGCCTTTTGGTGATTCAGGACCGTTGGAGATGCTCTAAGTTTTCTTTCTTTTATACGTACATTCAAGTTTGGCTTCCCGTTCTGATATCTTAATCCATCTCATCTTTCAGACTCCTTTACTCGACGCCAAGAGACATTCGTCAATGTTGTCTTGCGGTACCATGGACAAAGATCCACAGCAAGCTTATATATCATGATGATATGGCTTTGATATGACCATATGTTTCAGATTGATGTGTAGCAAGCTAGGTAATTTTTTTTTTCCTTTAAAGTGCTTTTGGCTTTAATTGCATACAACACTAACAAAACTAGTTAAATTAAGTAACTGACTAATATACCTTCGGAAGGGCGGCCATCTAGTCGGAGCAAGGGATTTCGTTTGACTTTTCGGATGTCTGAGTGTGTACTTTTTTTTTTTTTTTGGCACCTGTGCATACCAGACCCGTCGGATACTAACCGATGAAAATTGTGTCAATCTCATCGGAGTGACACCGATCCCTCACTGCTAGACGCCTCGACAGTCTAGACCCGTCCAGGGGATCCCTCTCAGCACAAGTGCTTCACTCCCAGACTCGTCTGCAAGCCACAGACCCGTCCACAAACCACAGACCTGTCTTCAAGTCATACACGCGGCTGGCACCAGTCTTCCTTGGAGACTCATCCATCTTGTAATCCCAGACTCGTCTGGCACGGTTTTATCTTTTTTTCACCAAGTCTTACACTCCTCACACCAAACCTCCTTACCTTTAGATCGATTATCAAATCCAATCAAAATGATCACATCCTTCCTTATCTTCTCGATTCGTGAAACCTTATACACCCCTTCCTTCATAACTTACTCATCATAAGAACTACCAATATGCGTCAAATACTACCACTATTCAACATTACCTACCACTCAACTCAGCACGATCAATCTACAGGTAATTCAAGTTGGCATTATTCAGTCTATTCAGCTTTGAACAATAGTACTGAAATTACAATCTTCTTTGCACTTCAGTTATAGGTAGGAAGGTAACTTTTTATACCGATTCGTTCACATCTTATCATCGAACCTCGCACCATCCATGACATGGTTCCATAATCTTTACTTGTATCTATTAACCTAAAACCAAAACAAAGAGATAAAAAAATTGAAATAAACAACCAGTTTCCGAGAATCGATGAGCACTTGAAAGTGTATGCCTTTCATTAACCATCACCTACAACGTTTCTTTAAACTCAACTTTGACCGACTTTATTGAGGTATAAGTAAATAGTCAACCTTCTGTATAATTCAACTCAAGTTGGCTCGATTGAAGTTTAGATCATCAATTCAATTGAAAAGAAACATAGTTTTTGAAGGAAAGAGAAGAAAGGAGACTTCTCAAACCATGTAGTTTCAGACTACGACTGTTGAAAGCAAAGAATTGTTAAGAGAAACACACCATGTAGCAGATAGACAACATAAACGAGATAAGTAAACAGGAATTGAGATCTTTGTCTAAGACAAAGATAAAATCAAATACAAGCTGTCCGCAAAATACAAATGGTTTGCATTTAATATGACAAGAATCAACAGAGGAACACCAAAGACGATGATAAGGTGGCCTTTTTGACAAAACTGATTAAAGCCCCAAAAATGAACCTTGCGATTTTACAAGGGCACAAAAGAACTTAAATCAATACCCCCCCATTCCTCTTCCTCTTCTTCCTCGTGACTATATTTATCATTGAGCTCATTTCCAACGTTTGGTGATTGATTGTTATTACCTACATCCAGACCGTTATTACCTTGAGCAAGACCACTTTCTCTATTATCATCATCAATATTGCTTCCTCCTACTGCCTCGATTTCATCTGCACCAGGCACGCTTTTGATCTTAATCTTGAATTTCCCGTTTAAAAAGTCATTGAGCCAAAGCTGGCGAGTGCTACTGGTCATTTTGTCAAAGCCTATCTTTAACTTCTCACTTGTAAGCGTCGACCCCGGAAGCTGGATGAGTTCCAGTTTTGGATACTTGCTTGGTAAAAGGTTAACAGGGTCGGGTCCACGAGGAAATCCTCGAGATTCGATTTTCAGCAAGTTGTCTGATGAATTGCATCAGTTCATATTCTCATTGATGGAGAAAAACATGTATGGCTGACCTATTTCAGAACGGAGCTTGCGAGCTAAATTGCCTTTTAATAGATCTCCAGGTGAGGCTTGCTTTGCTGGCTTTGAAGTTGGTTGGTGACCGATTTGCTTTGCAACAGCCTCGTTGACAGAAAGACCTTGGGTGTGAGTTGCAAATATTGTTGAGAAATTCGCCTTGGTGTGAAGATAATTGGCCATATCAGGGTGAGAAGTGTATTCGCGACACCATCCGGGTTCAGATGCCTGTCCATTGGTAGCTGCGTGAGTACCTGAAGCAATGAGATAGTACCCGAATTCCATTCGGTTCGACTCGTTATGAATCTCAAGAAGGACAGGAGAATCAAAATCAGTTTGTAGGTTGAACATTAGAGAAAGAAAACTAACTTGTTTGTGAAGGCGGTCGACACATTTGAGAGACTTGCGGTTGAATTCTGGAAGTGAAGTCCCTTGCGGCATACCTGCAGCAACCTTTGCATAAACCTTTGCAACTTTGTCTTTACAAACGATCTCATCATATAATTCCTGTAGTTTCACTAGCTCCTCAGGTTGTAACACTTCATCAGGTTCGGGATCATCATCGCTATCATCCTCGGATTGAGGTTTAGGAAGGCCAGATAGAGTATAAAAAATATGAGGTTTGAAAACTCGTGCATGATCATCAGGTAGTGATGTCCACATTGCCCCCAGATCCTTATTTCGTTGGCCTAGTACACCTTTCTCTCGGTTAACAGGCACTGTAGTCATTATTGTGAGGGTAAGTGCTATGTCAGCGCATGTTCAAAAATCGTTTCACATCAAACCAACTGACTTTTATGTTTAGTTTTGTCTTTTTTTGCGTACGACAACCAGAGATGGTATGCATCTGGTCCTTTTGAGCAATCTACCGTGTCCAACATTAGAAATCACAAAGGGGCTACCGTTTGAGGACGTTTTCTGGAACGTTGTAGAACTCCTACGCTGTGTAGCGTAGGCTGAGCCGGAGAGGGGAAGAATCACCGCGCAGAAAGAATAACCACACAGGTGAAACTATGGTTGTCGTAGACTGCCCTCAACCTTTAAATAAAAGTTCAAAAAAATAAAAAAATCACGGAAGCAATTCTCTAACAAATTTCTACCTTCTCAAATCTAATCCGTAACACTATTCTAATATCACTAGAAGATCCGCAAGATCTGGCGGATTCCAACGGTACCCCACACTACACTATATGAGAGGGTGATACAAAACTATGTTGATGTTGAGTTTTATTGTAAATAGTTTTAATGTAAAAGTGAAATTGTAAAAATTAGCGGTACACAAATATGAAAACCGTATGAAAAACCCGCATGAAAAATCCGCATGAAACCGCATGGTTTTTTTAGGTTTCCCCGCAAAAATCAAAAAAACCATGCGGGTTTTCATGCGGTTTTCCATACGGTTTTCCCATACGGTTTTGATATTTGTGTACCGCTATTGTAAATGTAACAACTACAGCCCTGACTCAACCCGGTCTGAGGTAATTTCAAACTGTAATCTAACCTGACGAGTTGATGACTGATTTCTGACCGAGCTCAGCAAACAGAAAATATAAGAAAAAAAACACAATGATCCTCTTCAAGACACTAATCACTACAAATGATAATCTAAACAACAATAGAGGTTATGTTTTCTCCATCTATCTTTCTTATCTTTTAATACTCAAAGAACTTGATTTAATCGGACACACTAACTAAAGATGATATTCTAATTCTTTGATAGAACACTAAAAAAACTGATACGTTCTCAAGGACACATGAAGACACGATTATAACACTTAGACCCAGACACGAACACTGATACGACAATCAGAACACTAGAACACTTTAAAAAAAAACTTAGAACACTCTTTGATCAACACTGATACGCAAATAACACAAAAAAAACACGATGATCCCTCCGATGGATCCCAAAAAAGAATGAAAACGATGCGATTCTTTCCACAGACACACGAACGAACAAGACCCCTCTTCTTTTGAAATTTCAATTTGACCTCCACTTACTACCTCCGATCGGACTTCACTTGTAAGTCACGACACAACTGGATTTCCGTCGATTTTCGATTTAGTTTTATTTTATTCATTCACTCGTCTCCACCTCTACCTCAACCTCCTCCACTCTCTTTCGATCTGGACCTCTCGATCGCACTCCATCCTCAATCTCCAGCTCAATCTTCACACTATCGATTTACAATGTAAGTTTGATTTCTTTTCTCTTCTTCTACACTATCCCATCCTTGACTTTATGTATTTAGATTTCGATTTTGACATCATTTAAGTAAGTTTCTTTTCCCATTCACTTCTTTGTTTGTTCTCATACTGACTCCTTTACCTCCTTTCTTTGTTTTCATTAGTTTTAACTTTGGACCTCAAAATCGAATTCCTATTTAGTTTCAATTTCGATTCTGATCTTTGATTTAGATCTTGATAAATATGTAAGTCTTTTCTCTCTTAACTTTCTTTTCTACTATTCATCTTGCACAACACTGACACCACCCTCTTTCTCTATCTCAATTTAAACCCTCATTATAAACACAGTATAGTAATAGCCTTATAGTGATTGGAACAAGATCATAACACAGCTTAAGAATCAGATGATGTATCTCCATCTCCAGAAGTCTTATGTCCAGCTCCAGATGGCTTATCTTCATTTTATGATGACTTATCTTGATCTTCAGATGAACTACTTCCATCTTTTGATGAATCATCTCCCAATCTCAGACAATTTAGAGCCTTTGCAGAGTATTTGCTCAAGTTGAGATGAAGAGATTAATACAAATATTAGGAACAGAACAGGTGTTAGTCCAATGTCAGAAAAAATCATCAAAGAGACCAAGACATCTCATAGCTTCATTATAGTAGTAGGTCACTTGTTACTTACCAATGGGAATATTGGGTGCCAGGTACATATAAAAAATTCTTTACATATAATTAAGTGTAGTGCTTGGTTTGGTTTGTGATCTTAAGTTTGTGGTGGTGTATTTGACATCATTTGTTTTCAAATTCTTCTTTACCAATTTCTTTCCAAACCTCACTTTTTGTATCATCATTGTCTGATAAGTTAGTGATTTTTCAAATCCCACCCTTGCCATCCCGGTTGTAGTTGATTTTTTATTTTTTATTTTATTTTGTTTTATTTTTCAAGTGTTTTTGTTATTCTTTCATGTGGGTTTGATTGACTCTTTTTAGAGGTAGAGGATTTGTTGTTCAATTTGTAGTGGGTTTTTTCTTTGGGCAATGGTATATATTTTTCTAGTTTGGGTTCTTTATTTTAGGAGGTTTCATTTTATTTCTTTAGTTAAAATTTTTGTGTGTGTGCTTAGTTGTGGACCGCTAGCCACCCCGTAGGGTGATGTTTGTGGGATGATCTAATTTTACAAAACATTTTGGCCTAGCTTCAAGCAGTTAGTTTTGATTTCAGTAAATACCAAGATGATATTTCCACATTTTTCATCTACTTTTGGAAATTTGGCATCCACCTTATCCTCTTCTTCAGATGTTGTGAAGCCCTCTAGTGTCCCAAATAGAAAGTGGATACAATAATGTAGAGAGATAAAGAAAAATATAGGGCTGAATTCAGTGTCAGGAAGATGTGCCAAGAGTCAATTTTCCTCACATACCTTTGTTTCCATAGGATTTAGGAGAAGGCTTTGGGCCTCTTTTGGTTGAGAGGTCTCAGAATTCATACCAAGAATTCTAATTCCTGCCCCCATTCCTCCTCCCATTCCTGCAATGTGTGGCTTGTGCTCTCATTTTGAGAGCTGCTTCTCTGCTTCCACAGCCCTTTGAGTCTTCTGCCCACAGTACACACCCAGCCATCCTGCACACCTATACTATTTGCAGAGGTGTTTGAGAGAGAAAAAAACAAAAAAACCCATGAAAACAATTTTGAGAAGAGATGTATCATACATTTTTTAGTTGATAAAAAAGATATACTTAGGTTAAAGTCAATCCAGGAAATTGAATTGACCTACAGTGCCCTCCAAAAATTTTACGTACAGTGCACATCTGCTCTGTATGTATGGTCATCAAAAATGTTTCAAAGGGACCAATAACTACACTCTTGATGACAAAATGCATTTCTAAGCATTCTTCTCACTATGGGCAGTGCTCAGGCTACGTATTTAGAACAACATATTGCAGTAGAATCAAAGCAGAATCACCACCAAGTTGCACCCCCTTTAGCTTTCATCACCGCTCGAATCCGTTCAGGCATTGAAGAAACAAGTGACTTGAGCTTGCTTTCTGGGATAGCCATCCACTTAGACACCAGAAGATGATACATCTCTTGTTGAGACTTTGGTTGCTTTTCCTTGGAAATCAAGCTCTTGAGGATCTTCCAAAGGTTCTTGAGCGGGTTGAGATCCGGACTGTTTGCAGGCCAGTCCAACTTGAGGATTGAATGACTGGCATGCCATTCCTTTGAAGCCTGACTCCGATGAACTGGAGCACCATCCTCCATCAAGATGAGGTTAGAAGGACAGCAAGGATGGGTCACAAAAGGTTTCAAAGCCCGCTCGTAGACAATCGAGATGAAGTCGGAAGAAGAACGTCGTCCAGGTGGAATTAAGACAAGAGGAAGCTTGCAAAATGAAGTAAAAGCACCCCAGACCATGACTGAAGATTGACCACTTTGGAAACTCGGGGTGAGACAATCCAATTCAAACTTTTCATCACTCTTTCGCCACACTCGCACTGGGCCTGACATCTTTCCAATCTCAAAGGATGACTCATCAGTCCAAATCACTCATTCCCAGTCCTCCACAGTCCAATCTTTGTATGCTAGAGCAAAACCTAATTGTTTCCGACAATGTTGAACACTCAGGTAAGGCTTTTTGACTGCAATGCGAGAATTGAAACCAATGTCTTTGATCTCGGCTCTAAGAGTGTTATGACAGACTTGAGTTGGGATCTGAGCTGAGATTTCCAAAAGTGTCCTCCGCCTATCTTTCCTCAAGGTTTGTTTTAGAGTTCTTCGATTGCAATTGGTGAGCTTCTTGGGTCTACCAGCGTGATTCTGAGGGTTGGTGGTGGCATTCTTTTGGTAGTTTGAAAGCACTGTTGAAACCGTTGATCGAGGATGGTTCAGTTTTTTTGCAATTTGACCCATTGTGAGCCCAGACTTCCTTGCCCCAACTATTTCAGCCCTCTCCTTGGATGTCAGGGATCGTGTCTTCATGATTTGGTGTTGATGGGAGACGGTGTGATATTGTATTGGACTCTTATTTGTAGCACTAGTACTTCAACACACAGCTGTATTTACAAAACTGTACGTAAAATTTTTGGAGGGCACTGTACAGCACTGCCAACATAGATGCCTCGGGTTGCAGAATCCGAGGCATCATCAGAGGTAAATCCTCGGACAGACCCTGTCCGAGGTTTTTGTTCCAGGTAATCTTCCGCGCTGAGAATTGCCTTGGATCAAAACCTCAGACAGCTTCTGTCCAAGGTTTGGAATCCAATGATACCTTGGATTTTTCAATCCGAGGTAAATATGTTGGCGGTGCAGGCAATGTTGAGCAGAGATCATTTGAAATTGATATAAGCAATGCCAAAAAAATCTAAATCTCCAAGAGTCTAAATTTTGAATTTTTTCATGATCACCCGCAGTGCAAGAAAACTAGTGATAACCAGGACCCAGAGCAATCCATCTTAGTACTAGAGGTACCCTCATAGCTCCTCTTGCATCTCTAAACCATACCCATTTGTAGCACAATGGGTTCCAAGCTCTGATACTTGTCAAACTGTCTCATACATTTCTGGTGCAGTTTTTTTACAATGCAAACAGTTCAACTTCCTTGGCCTATCAAGATGATCCACCTCAATGCCTTACAGGCACATTCACTACTGCAGCAGATAACCACTATGTCTTTGATGCTACTTGTTAGGATTCTGCTGAGCCTGAAGATGGCATGCTTCCCATCCGAGAAGCCTTGGTGGTTTGTTAGCTTCAATGTGTCAAAGTTACATAAGACCTGTGCAATAAGATTTAGCTTTAAGGCCAAAAAGGCCAAAGATAAGGTTTTGACACAAAGAACCTCCTGAATGCCATACATACCAAGTTCAACCAAAACCTTTAAAACAAATGATCAAAATGACTTGAAATCAAAGAAAAGCCAAGCTTTACATTTGATCGATCTCCAATACATCTCAAGAAAATCAAAACTCACAATCAAAAAAAAAAACTTTCTTTCCTACACAAACCAACACTCTCCCCAAAAAACACACACACAACTATTTTTTTTAAAACAAAAGATCAAAACCAAACCAAACCCAACACACACACAACATATCATCTTTTTTTCTCTACTTTTTCCTTCTTCAATATCAAAAAAAAACCAAAAAAAGAAACCCAACCCTAAATCACCTTTACTGCTACTATAACCCAATCAAAAAAAGAAAGAAAAACCCAAATCCAAAAAATTATTAACTATATCAAAAAAAAAGAGATCCCTCCCCCCAAAAAAGAAGCAAGCACATTTATATTAACTAATGAAAGAAAGGATAAGACAAACAGGCAAAAACAAACAGATAAACTAAAAGGAGTGTATATTTATAAAGTATCAAGAAACAGTAGTTGTAGTAGTTGTAGTAGTAGTAGTGGGTGTAGCAGTAGTAGTAAGATTAGATAAATGAGCATAAAGTCCACCATACCCTCTAAGATGATATTTTAACAATTTCTTCAATCGGTTTCCAACCACCCTAATCTCATATTCAAGTTCGACCAATCCACTCTTTTTCCAAATCTCCACTCCTCCATCACTTCCCTTCTTGTGTTTCAATCTATTAGCCTCTTCAATCTCTTCTTGTTTATCTTGATGATGTGTTGAAATAGAATTCAATGATCGTCCAGTCCTTAAACAAGTCGGAATATTTGATGATGGGTTTCGTTCGGCTGCTTCACTTTCTTCATTGATCACAAACTCAACCGTTTCTCTCAATCTACGAATCGTAATTGCAAATAAGGTAGATTGAAGTCGAAGATGTTGATCCATCCAATTCTGAATCACTTTCATCAATTCCTTCCCAGGTACTGCCGCTCTCATTTCTCCTTTACTCCCACCTTCTCCATTTCTGAGGCTTTCGATTCTTGATCCAATGTGTAGAAGTACACTCTCGAATCCAGCTCTCCATGATTTTGACTCAATCTTCTTCAATCCGATGCCTGGCTTACCCTTCACTTTCAGACCAGGCTCAGACATCAACACCCATAATTCTGACTTCAGAGTTTCCACATCTCCTTCCTTGAGCTTTGAATGCCCAACGAGTTGCTTGAAAAGCATAATGATCAGATATGCAATCGTCAAGTCGGTCAAGTCCGAATGAAGTGTCTGAAGGCGTATGGTATCCATACTGAAGGTCTCGGGAACGAAACTTGGTGATGGTGAAGGCGTCAGGGCTGAATCCGAAGGAGGAGAAGCGGATGAGAATGGAAAGCTGAGGGGGATTGTCCATCGGCTTGGAGGATTGGTTTGAGGTAAGTTGAAGACCAACTCAAGCAGACCATCTTGCACAGCTCTGGAAATCTGCTCTGCGGGTAAGAGATTAGATAATCCTGAACTGCCTTGAACTCGGGCCACCGCTTCTGAGTACCAACGCTTGGTACGGTCGATCGAAGGTCGCTTGATCAACTGATCACGGAAGTGTCGGATCTCGAACTCAAGAGCGGTTTCAAGTAGCACAGGTCGAAGTGTGCGTAGTTGATGATTCGCAATATCCTGGATAGACCATCACAAAATCCAAATGAGCAAGATGACAAGTGTGTGCAAGGATTTAAAATGAAAGTTTGTGAAGACATACCAGCTTCATTAGTTCTAATAACTCAAACGACATTCGCAGACCACCAGCCAAACCAGCGTAAGAGCTCTTTTGAAGACTATCATGTGCTGAATTCTGTAGGTCAGGCTCAAGAGTAAAGTCTTTGGCCTCCCCAGAGATTAGAGAGACCATTCCGTCCACAATATTATCTCTCATGGGTGCACAGTGTCCTTTAAGCACCAAACCTAAGAACCTAGCTAAAGCAGGCATATCGATCCTACGACCTTTTTCAAGTTTTTGACTGATTTCAATTGGATCGAGGGTTGAACAAATCACATCATGAGCTGAAGAAGAGGGGCTAGGATCTGTATTTTTGTTTGGGCACAAAGCTTGTGACCGAGGTACGACGAGTGAAAGTAGGATATTCCTCAATTCTTCAACCAAAGGTGGGATTCTTGAAGGAATTCGATCCAAGGGGATTGTGCCAGGTTTGATGTTTGGTTCCGATGAGGCTTCGTTAAACTGACCTCCTGAACAAACGCATCCGAGTACTTGCCGAGGATCGGGTGCAGTAGAAATTGGACGTCGGTCAGGAAAGCGTTGAACAAAGGCTGCACAACGACAATTGGCCTCTAGTTCCCGAGCAATCGCGATCCAATATCGATCGGCAACCAGACGCTTACGCTGCCCTCTGTTTCAAAAAATGCAACCTATTAGTACTGTGAAATCAAAAAGCAGTGAAGATGTTGACAAATTCATTAACCTATCACCATCCAAGTTGGGACGAAATCGAAGTACATCATCGAACACGATATCATGACGAAGTTGAGCATTCTTCAAAACTTCCACAAACTCGAGCTCAGCCATCGATGACCGAGTGATAGGGGGTATCCAGGAGGGTAAGTTGATCTCCGGGGCAGTTCCGAGGCTAGAAGAATCGATAGAGTAACCCGAGGTGCGCTTGGATGAACGTGGGTATGAAGAGTTGGTTTTAGAAGATGCGGATATTGAATTGATTCGAGGAAGATCCAGAGCATGTCGAGCAATCAGTTGGACGTAGACTGGAGCAGTGGGTTGGATAGGAAGGCTGAATTCTTGAGCCGAACGAGATCGGTAAACAACTGGTAAATTAGCATTAGTAGAAGGAAGAAAAGGAACAGTCGATTTGAAGATGGGTCGTGTCGTAGCCGCATGATTGAGGAGGAGAGGATGTATCTTGCTCTTGTCTGTCGTAGGGATCGAGCCAGGAGCCAAGATGGGGGTGAAGGTATCGGCCGAGGGTTTTGGAGGAGTGGTGAATGAAGAGGTACGATGATCAACGGCAGGACTTGTTGGTTTTGGGCGCGAATGACGAAAGCGAGCGGCTCGAGAAGATTTATGAGCAGAAGCCCGTAGATTGGCTTTGGAGCTCAATCTGGTGTTGACCACGTCGTCATCCTTTCTTCTTTTCTTGGTGGGTGAGGATGGAGGTAGAGAAGTGGCTCGAAATGTTTTGTGTGGAGCCAGCGAGAGCATTTGGGTGGGACGTGAAGCTGTGTGTGAAGAAAGATTCACGAGAAACCCAAAAGATGAGCTTGGACAGATGAGGAAAAGAGACAAGAGACATACCATCAGTTAATTTGCGCATTCGGGGCAAAGGAGCTGAGTTGATGATAGTTGGTAGATGAAGGATAGGTCGAGAGGCTGAAGAATTGATGATGAGCGAAGGATGATGATTACAGGGGCGTTTGTTGGGCAATTGTTGATCTGGTTGAGTGCGAGAAGCAGGTAAAGAGGAGCATACAGGAGAGGGATGATGATGATGATGATTGAGAGATTTAAGTCGAGAGCGAGAAAGGAATCGATGTCGATGAAGACTTGCAGATTTGATGGATTGTTGATCAAAGTGAGATCGAGTGGGTGGGGCTGAGAGTGGAAGTAGGGTATGTGAGTGAGGATGAGGAGGGCTTGGATGATGGAGAAGGGGTAAACTTGATGAAAGGAAAGGAAGAGGGGTGTTGGTGATAGGGTTAGTATTATTAGTGGGAGAGGGTAATGAAGAATTCGAAGAAAGTAAGGAGTTGGGATTAGATTGATCACATTGACATGAGTGTTGTTGTTGTTGTGGTTGTTGTTGTAAGATAGGGGTTTTGATTAGATTGTGATGATGATGATGATGATGATGTTGGTTAGTTGTCAGGGTAGTCGAATTGATAGGATTGTTTTTGTTATTGATGACATTGAGTTGATTTGAATCGATAGGTTCCAGTAATATTAATTTTCGTTTTGTAGGTCTAGGTGAATGATGAAGATGAAGATGATGATGATGATGATCGATTGAGAGTGAATGATCATGAGTAGTGTTATTTGAAGTAGATTGAGTTGAAGTATTATTATTAAGTCTAGGTTGATGAGTGGTGGTTTGATTGTTAATGTTATTAGAATTGACTGAATTCACATTCTTCTGATGATTATTGGGATTGTTATTGTTGTTGTTAGTATTCTTAGTACTAGATGGATCATGAGATGAAGAAACTAAATGAGATTCCACTGAATCATGTTGAGGTTGGTCCATCTGATGAATCTTGGATGAAGGTGTTGTTGGATTTGGGTTGAGTAATCGATTCTTGAAAAATGAACGAGTGAAGTGGAGAAATCAAAATAAAAAAAAAACAAAAAAAAAATGGATCAAATCGGAGATTGAGAGAAGTATGTATCAAGACTCGAAGAATGTGGAGATGACAATGATTAATTATTCAACTCAGGGTTTAACTCAAAGATCTCTTAATTGGATTCTTGATGAAACAAAAGTAACACTATCAAAACTCAAATGAAGAGCTCAGGATAAGGAAATCTGAGTAAAATCAAAAAGCTCAGACTGCATACGATCGATGAGGTGGTGATTAATAAAAAAGAAGGAATTCAAAGTCAGCAGCTAACTGGTCGGTTGGTGGGTTGGTCGGTGTTTGTAGATTTAAACACCCAAGGGGGAGAGACAGAAAGTCGGTAAAGAAAGGGCTAAATTAGAAGCTTGATATATCAAAAAGTATATGTAGTCAAGAAAAAAAAAAACTCATTACATATTCTTCGTAGTTTTAAGTCTTGAGGGGTTGAAATCAAATTTTAAATTCTTTGTTGCATGTGTGTGACTGGAGTGAGTTTGATGAGTTTCTTGCTCTTCTTTTCTGCTTCTGTGAGTGTGTGTGGGTATAAATCACTTCAATAAGTCAAAGGCTGTATATATATGTGACAGAAAATGAAAATGATTTGACCTCTTGTGTCTTGTTGTGAAAAGTCTTACTTAATCAGAAGCATCACGAAAAAGGGTCTAATTGAATTTTAAACTTCAAAAATATTATATCAACCAATCAACGGACCAACGATTACGGAGACAAGAGAGAGATTGAGATTGAGTGATAAATTTTGATTTTATACTCATTTAAATTCCTCGTTAGTGTCTCAATTCCTCATCAATCTCCCTTTCTAAAGCATCCATCCTTCATCATCAATCAACTCACCATCCAATACATCTATATACAGCAGGTTGATCCAACTTCTAATAATTCCTCTTTAACACATCCTCGGCTCCAGGATGAATCGTACACTCGAAAGATCAAACCGAAACTCCAATTCTCCATTAAACTCGACAATGGGATTCATCAATTCATCAGCAAGAGGATTTGTACCCGTGACACTTAACACCGTCTTAAGCCTGTAAATTCCAGTTGGGATTTCATTCCGTAGTTTGGCTTACATCCGATATATCATCTGGGGTTTCAAGCCCCACCCACCAGACCCCTTCATGAGCCATCGGTAGACCCATCTATGTGTCCCTAGTATATGATCAGTTCACTTCGACAATCAAGTGGGTAGAATTTTTCATCTCCACTATTCGGAACCAAGTCTTGATCCAAGCCTCACTCAGATACAAAGAATGCATCCGTCTTAGACAATTCCGATCCCTTCAAGCCGATTCGTCATCGCCAACGATTCCCCGGTCAGATGATCCCTATCAAATTTAAACGGACTCATATCTCCAATCCAATGCGGAGTCTGATGTGAGTTAAGATAAGAAAAAAAAGACGAGTAATGGAATTGTATCTGTAGGATTTACACGGCATCCAAAGCTGTTGTGAATACACCGCATAAGAATACTCGTGCACTTAAACCAAATCGCCTGTTCTACATTCCCTTTTATGTAAGTACATACACTGGCAAAAGGTTGGATTGATGATGCAGTGATGCAGCGAGATTTGAATTTGAATTTAAATTGAATCTACATTTCCTATATATCAAACTCCTTGTCATAACCTTCAGAGCCACATCATTCCGTCTGCTTGAGGAATAAAATGAAGAATATCATCATCCAATGCATTTGTAAGCCCTATCAGTCATGTCACGAATAAAAATCTTTTAAATTTGAAGGAAGAAGAGATAAACGATTCACTTGAGCTGCTCCTCACCTGTTCATGAATGGAAAAGTCAACATATCATTTGAGATCAATGCCAAGACTGTACTAAAACATTGACAACAGCTATATAGGTACGTGCATTGGGTTTTATTTATCAAGCATTCATTTCTATGATCAATATCAAACAGGACCCTGGAATGCGCCTATGGATGTATCTGACGAAACCCGATTTTTGGTTTTTGGGCGCTACTCTACACACCACTACCTGCCTCGCGGTCCCAGACACCTAAAAAGATGTGCATGGGACAGGGCTATCCAATGAGCCTGGTCGTAGACCTGTAGCGTTGCTCAGTTCGACGGAAATCGCAAAGGCGCAAAAAAAAAATCGGCCTCCAAGCAAGGGTGCCACTATACTATACTATACTATACTGGGACTATACTCAGTATAGTATAGTTCAACTATACTCTGCATAGTATAGTATAGTTCAACTATACTATACTATACTCAGTATACAGTCAAAACTCCCTAAAGCCATACCATTCTGTGGAATCCAGGGGCTATGGGCTTATAGGGTTTTAGCCTATCTATGGTTTTACTAAAAAAACCCTCTAATACCATAGAAGTATGGCTTTATCAGAAACACCCTCTAATGCCATAGATGTATGGTTCTTTAGAAACAAAAACTCTATCAGACCATGATAATCATAGATTTAGAGGGCTGAGCAAAGAGAACAATCAATCACAAAAGTGAAGAACAGTAAGGGTGACAGAGGTTTATGAACACACATAGATCATCAGGTTGAGGGTAGAGGAGAACAGCGGAAGAAGTCAGTGATGGTAGACTGCTGAGCAGTTAACTCTGTGGTAAAGTATGGGTCTAGCGGGGATAAAAACCACATTTTCCCACTATTTTGGTATGGGTTAAGGGGCTAGAGGGGTTAATCCAAATTTTGGCCTGCGCCACAAATGTGGAAACCATACCCTATGGCTTTGAGGGGTTTATGGATTTAGCGAGTTATGGATTTGGAGAGTTTTGACTGTATATGTTTTTTGGGTGTTTTTTTTTATATTTTGCAAGTTTTTTTTTCAAGAATTTTGGGTGCTTTTTTTTAGTTGTGATTGCTCAAAAGATGAAGATCATCATCCATGAACTAAACCATATATGATACATCATTGTTCTCTGATGAAGCAAGCTCCATTGAGATACTGGTAGTATCTTCAGTTTTGCTCACATAAGTTAAACACTACACAAACAACACATTTGATAATTCCATTGTAGACAATCTGAAACAAACAACACATTTGAGATTTTTATTGAAAAGCAATCTGACAACAACAGTCACCTAAACATTATGACTTTTTGATCTTATTCCTTGAATCTTCATCCTCCGCAATACATAGAGCCATCATTTCTCCAGCTAGTTCAAAATCCTGAGACAACTTGACCTTTTGAGTAGTCCAGAGACAAGTACTTACTGAGCGCTCAATGGTTCTAGGTAGAAGGCCACCTCGGTTGCGGTCACAAACATCTGCTGCAGTCGAGAAACATCTCTCAACTGGGCAAGATGTGGCACTTGTTGCAAGATAGTCGCGTGCCAAGGATGATAGTACCGGATAACGAGACTGATTATTCTGTTGATAAGAAGAAATTGGTTAGAATATTTGACTCGGCATAAATCAACAGACAACCAAGCTTACATTCCACCATATTAGAGCTTTCTTGGGGTCCAGATCAACTTCCTCATCTGGGGCATCATCAGCCCAAAGCCATTGAGAAAGTCATCCTTAGTTGGTTCTGTTGGTTGTTTGCATCTCAGATTAAACATCTCATCATCAGAATCCTCGCCGTGTCTGGGTAAATTGACTGCTGGTGTTTGTTGAGCTGCTTCAGACTGTAACAATTGTTCTCTTTTATTAAAATGAGTTGTGAGTAAATGAGTTGCAATTTTGAACTCGGAGGAATCTGAACCAAATGCAGCTGAAAAGAAATTTGTTCGCCAGCTTGGATGTAACACAGTAGCCATGACGATTGTTTCACATCCTAGAGCTTCAGAAAAGTAAGTATCAACACTATTCTTCATTGATAGGTACATTGGATAGAGAGTATCAGTTCGATTACTCTTTGAGATCTTTTTCTTGAGGTTCTTCTGAAGCTGATAATACTTCCGAAGGACCATACATCCAGTCGGCCCATCACCTTCTATCTCTTTGGTAAGATCAGCATAAACCTAAAGAAAACCAGTCAGTTCTGACAGAAAATTGATGAAAAAACTGGTACCTTTACCAACTTTGAGTTCAACATTGAGCGCTTTGACGAGCTTCCAATCATCTTGACTGAAGGTAATCTTCTTGAAGATACCGCGTTGATGGTTCAAGATGGGGTCGGATATGAAGCTTCCAGGACCGCCACTAGCTGTGTTGGTGGCGCTTGGACAGTCCCTTGGGTGTGGAGCCTCTGATTGATCTTGCTTCAACATTTCATCAATGACCTACAACAAAACACTGATCAGTCGAGGTAGGATTTGATCTCATGAATTTGATTGACTTACATCTCGTGCCTCCCACCCACGCTGATGGCTCTCCCACTTGATGTTCCAGCGGATTCCATATGCGGCAAGCAGGTCTCGGACATTCAATTTTATTGCTTTGGCGATAGATCGAAAGTATAGGCGATTAGCTGCAGATCCTGTTATCTTGCGAAGGACAAAATCAAGCTGGAAATGAGATCCACACGCACATAGATCAGCCTCAGACCCTGATCAGTCTCAAAACAGTCACAGAAAAACATACCTTTTTTAAGACACCATTGAGTCGACGTGCGCGTGCTCGGTCTGAAATGGTCAACTCAGCTGCTTGTGCTTTGGCCTTCTTTTTAGCATCACGTTTTACGTTCCTCTGGGCTTGGAGAGTAGGGATCGGGTTAGCTGGAAGATCAGGTGATCCATTGATTTGGCTGAAAGAGTGAGATAGGGGTTCAGGAAGTTCTTCATCGGGTTCCGAGCTGTTGTCAGAATCGGATTCCACTCCAGTATCGGAATGAATCTCTCCTGCAGGAATTACATCGTCAAGGTCTGGAAGATCTTCATAAGTCTGAAGACCAATTTCTAAATGGTTGTTGATGTTGTCAAAGAAAGTAGGGGTGAGAGCTCCATTCAATTCGAGCTCATCATGTTCAGGATCGAATTCGTCGTGTTCTGGTGGAAGCTCATCATGTTCTTGCTGAAGCTGAGTTGAATCAGGTAAAGTTGATACATTACAATCGGCAGTAATTTCATCTTCTGATTCCTCCGGAATAGTTTGTAAGTGATTATTGATTGGGAATTGTCCTCGAGCAAGATCTTGAACACTTTTGTTGGTCTGGCCTTTGATACCAAGAGCGTTGAGGCCGTTGTTGACAATGAGTGCCAGCTTGTGTGCCATGCACTTAACATGCATCGTTCCAGGGTCCCAAAAGTACGGCTGGTACTCACTCTCAGCTATTGATTGTAAAGACTTGTGCATTGCAGCACCCATTGTATTATTGTTGGACCCCGAATCGGTGGTCTGTGAGAGCATGTGGAAGTAGGTGAAAGAGTTCAATGAGAGCAGGTACGAAATTGGATAAAAAGATGTAGAATTAAAATAGACTACTTGTCTGAGAATACAGACCATTCTTCTGTAGAAAATTGACCATTGGAGCCGAGAGCCATTCTCCTTTGTGATACCACGATATGAGCTTAAGTCCAAGGTGACGAGATACAAAGTTGAAGTTTTCATCTATGTATGATACAGAATATCCAAGGAATGCATATCGATTCCCTTTTGTTGTCCAGCCGTCGTGTTGCAAGTTGAATTTGCTCTTACTTTTCTAGAATCAACAGGAGAAAACTCAGCTTCGATGAAATCAAGGTGAAAAATGATGGACATACTTTTAAATCCCCGATGACTTGCTCACTGAGCGACAGATATAGCCGATGGCCCTGAAGGGCTGCCCATGTTCGACCATAGAGATGCACATTTGGGTTTGAGTATCGGAATGCTGCGCGAAGTTCTGGATCTTCTATCCTTGACCAAGGTAAAGCCCAACGAATAATCCAAGATAAAACCATCTGATTTAATAGTTGATTGTTAAAGCGTGATCGATGCTTCATGGCAGCTAGAGATGATTCAGATAATGGTACAAATCCGGTTTTCGAAGCTTTTGCAATGTTGCGAAGTTCAGCTTGAGTCGGAGGGAGACATAAGCCAGATTTAATTGCCTCCTCGCGTTCAGGGCATCCTCGCCCTGAGTGCGACTCCTGAGTCGATCCATCACGATGCGCAGTTAAATTTGATTTCGAAGTCACTGCACCTCGGTGATTTGTATTGCACCATATGCATGTGTACATTGTTGGTATTTTGTCACGAGGCTGTTCACAGTTATACATTGAGCAATGATCAGCCTTATATGCAAGTAAAAGTCCCAAGAGAAAGATTTTACTTACCTCCTCTGGAAGAAGGAAAGGCCCTTCGAAATAATCCAAGATTGGCTCAGTTGCACGAACTGTGGTTCGAGACCTTTTTGGGGGTTGTGATCGAGCATTTTCTTCCCCAGAGTCTTGGGCCAAGTTGACAACTGTCTCATCAAGCTGTCAATGAATCAGTTAGCTTGTGTAAAAGACTAAGGTTGGGTCTAATCAGCTTACCTGAAGGGCTGTAGAAGTCGCAGGAGCTGACTGATTGGTCTTCTTTTTCTTTTGACCACCTTTCTTGGCTGATGATTTCTCTACTCTCTTCTGAGTTGATCCTGACTTGCGTTGTCTTTTGGAAGGTGATTTGAGTACAGCAGAAGAGTCCGAGGGAGCAACCGAAGGAGTTCTCTTGCTTCGGCGTAGTGCTGGAGGGGCTGACTCGCTCTCTGAGCCCTGATCTGTATCTGGTGGAAGCGAGGATTCGATGGAACCGTTATCCTCGCTAGCATTATTCTGTCGGACTAATCGCCCTCGTGAAGTTCGAGAAGGTGCGATCGCGCGAGAACTGGAGGACGGTACCGGTCGAGATTGTTGGCTTTGTGACATCAAGTCGATCGATGCAAGACTGACCGATTGGCTCTGAGTGTATTATAGCTTTATACAACTGAGGATGCGATTTGACTTGATGATATGATGATCGATTGATTGTTTTTTGTTGATCAGAATTTCGAGAGATTGATTAAGCTGATTTAAGACAAGATCAGTCAAGTAAACTGATGTGAGTTTGAATAGTTTGATATTGTTGATGTTGCCTTTTGATCGCTTTCTTTGATCGTTCTTGATGATATTGTATGCTGGGTTTTGATTTTGAAAGTTGATTGTAGTCCAGTTCAACCAAGCCAAGGAGGTTACAACCGGTTGTAAGTTCTCAAATGGCCACAAGATGATCAGAGCACTGAATCCGGTCAGCGTTGATCACCTTGCTTGGTTCTTGAATGGTTTTACAGTCGATCAAAGTGAGAGCTGTTGATGTTGTTCTGATGGGATTGTGGTAGTGAGATTTGTTGATGCTGTAGTTGTTTTATGACTTGGCTGCAAGCAGTGAATGTCGGAATCCGGAGGGCAAACTTTGAAGCGACTTACCCAAGCCCAGTAAAGTCAAGTATCGTTGAGAAGACCAATACTATACTTGCTACATGTGTAGTATAGTATCGGTCCTTTTTTACCAGTATCGTGGTCAGTATAGTAACGGGTTGCGATACTATACCGATACTATACCGATACTGGTATAGTATAGTGACACCCTTGCTCCAAGGTCCGATTAGGACCTTCCGAATATGGGCCTTTTTTGGCTGTTACATTGAGATATCTCAGGAAGTATTGGAGCTACGGGGTTGAAAGTTAGTGTAGCTGAAAGGCCTGCTTCTGGCGCATCGTTTAAACTCCTGTAGGTGTCAGTGAAGTGAAGTTTAGTGTCCAAAAACATCACCAACAAAAGGTCCTAATTTTCGTCAGATACATCCATGGGCGCATTCCAGGGTCCTTATCAAACTCATCATACATCCTTTAAGATTTGACAAACCATTTCAAACTGTGATCCTGATTTATTGCTTTCTTTCTTGTACCATCAATGAAAATCAACACAATAACTTTTCAATCTCTCTTGACTTCTGACTTCTCTTGTCTTTAAAAAATCAAATATTTGGCATCACAGTTTATAAAGAGTACTAGGTGCAATTGGTGCCCAGTTGCCACACAGGCTTGAGGCATGCCAATTCCTCACATGTAAGTAGCTTGGTTGTAATCACAGAAGGTCACAGTTCCCCTAATTCTGTTTTTGTGCAGAGCATGTCCTAGCATATATAGACAGAATCACAAAATTGCATATGTAACAGCATCTTTCAAACTTTGTGCTTCTATCAAACTTGAAGTTAGTCTTGATTTGTTGATCAATTCTATCAGATTGAGCAAAACAAGTGGAGATGGTTGAATGAAGTCCTCAAAACAATTTCAATGATTTTCTTGAAATTATTTCATGAATTTGAATGATATGGATTTGAAATGCCTTGAATTTGATGGACTATGATATGATCACATGCTTCACTTGATGAGCTGAGTGTCAGATGAAAGGTGTTGGTCCAATGATCAATGATCTGAGCCACACTGGTGTTGGCTGATGATGATGATGTTGGAGCCTGAAAGGTGTTGAAGAGGAACATTGCTGAGTACATAGAGGATTTTATTGAAGATTTTACAATTATGTAAGTAGTTTTTGGTCACCGGGATGGAGTTTCTCTTTTGGTGACATGATTGCTATAATCACCAAAAATCAAACATAACCAAACTTGCCCATAGATGAGAGAGATGGAAAAGCAGATTGATTATGTGACTGAAAATGTGAGATGAGGAACAGTGAGATGGCACAGGTGGATAGAAAAAGGTGTTGAGAATTTTGACGTGTGATAGCATACCACAGGGACACTCAAATTGGCCGCAGGGCATCTCAATGGGGCTAGACCACAACACTTTTTTTTCTTCAATCACTTTCCTTTATTATATTTAGGTAGAAATTGATCTATGTGTACAGTCTTTCAGAAATTGCTTGTAAAGTCCTGTTTTGCCTCAGGTCTGTGTGCTCACTTAAAAAACTTTTGATTTCATTTTTTTTACTTTTTCTGAAACCTTCCTCCACCACAAATATTTCCAGTGCTGGGTCTATCAACCAATGACCCACCCACAATGGAGGGGGAGGACCCTCACCAGCACCAGCCTCAAACTCTTCCTGGATTTTGATGCCTCACCTCAAATCCATCCAACTTGATCTCTGTTTTTCAGTTTCCAGTTTCTTCCATCTTTCATTTGCCTTCTTTATCTTTCTTGGTGCCTTTTCAAAAGTATCCAGAAGATATAAAGTTACTCGCTGTTCAAATGGAGAAAAACAATTTCTCTCAATCCAATATCAATGGTTTACTAGACTGTTCAATATCACCCTGGTATTTAAAGCAATGGCAAGAACTGTACCAACACACTTGGAAAGTCATTTACAACCCATATGAGTACGCAAAGCAAGGCCACCACTCACCTTATCAGATAAACACTTAGATTTTCTATACAATCTGATCACTAGTTGACCCTCCATGTATTTAGACAAGACTCAACATCAATTGCAGCTCTTCACTGGTCACTATGTCTTGCAAACTACCATTTCTTTCAAATTATGCAAACAGCTTGGGTTATCTCTGGAGGTAACTTGGGGCGTTCACAAGGACTAATGTGCCAATAAACAAGCCAAGTTTGTCATGATGGTGGCTAGAATTCCACCAGAGTCCTTGGTCAGTAAACTCTCTTTGGTATCTGATATTTATAGTGATTGAACTGACAATCCTTTTTGTATTGTTCATTAGATGAATGTGAAATTTCTGCACATGAAATTGATCAATCACAAAGCTAGGCGCCTAAGGGATGTCAGACTATCCAGCAAGTGTAACATTTGGAACTTGACCACTGCACACTGTTGCCAATAGTCAGGAAACAGGGCATGATTGTAGGTGTTACAGTCAAGGGGGCAGTTGGAAGAGTCCATGTGAAACTCTATTTCAAACGCAACTTGGTAAGGATCTTTTGAGCCATTACTTATTATACTTTTCTGATGACAA